TTCTAGCCCCAGCAACAGCAAAGACTGGAAATGTGACCTGAGTGCACCTTATTATTATGATTTACCTTCAAGTCTCAGAAACCAGCCACCAAACAAAATGAACCCCTGAAATATAGATATTTAAATCTAAGGATTCGTTTAAAGCAAACTCATGATTTCTGAATGTTGGGGGTTAGCAATACCACATATGTTCCCTTCTCCACTCCATATCATGATCTCAGAGCCCTGCAGGGGGTTGGACTAGGTGACCTCCTGAGGTCTCTTCCAACCCTAATATTCTATGACTCCCTTCCAAGCGTGCATGTGCCAAGGTTCCTTACTATTCTAGCCAGCACAGCTGACGACATCTACAGTTAAGTTAGCCCAACACTTTCCACCATAAGACCCTATTTTCAATGGCTTATAACTTTGCCACGTTTTAATCAGTTTGGCTGAAGTTTTTCCAGACCGGGTGTCTGCCTCAAGCTGAACTTTTTTTTTTTTTTTTTAAAAGTTTCAAACTACCACACTTCAGATGTTTCCCAGGATGAGGTCAGGGAAAGTTACATTAATTCACCCATGGTAAAAATGCTTTTTTACAACTGTTGAGTCAAGAAGCTCCAGCCCCTCCATGCTTTGGAGCAAGGGCTTGAAATTTGGCAATACAATGAGAGAAGTCACCACCTGCACGCCCCCTGGCAGCAGAATGCAGTATTACAACGTCCCTCATCTCCTCCTTTGGCTCCCAGTGGCCTGTTCTGGCATGTTGGCCCTCCAGCCAAATCAAGCTCAGTTTGCTCCCCCTCCTGGGGTTCAGGGGCAGTAAATAAAAGCTCCAACAAAAGAATCTTCATGTCCAACACAGACCAAAATAATCTCCTGCCCTGCCGGGGCTCAAAGCAAAGTCCTTTTGCCAGACTGCTGACTCTCTGGTTTCTTCCCCATGGAGAGTCCAAATTTAGTCAACATGCAATGGGCACCCATTGCTTCCCACCCGTCATAGCCCAGCGGCTTTCAAGGGCTAACCTAGTTCAGTCTGTCTGGGCTTCCTGGACCACACCTTGCTCCCCTGACTTATCTGACAGGCCTTTTGCTGCTCTCTGCTGCTTCCTTCCTTGCCACTGAGCGCTCTCTGTACTATCACAGAATATCAGGGTTGGAAGAGGTCATCTAGTCCAACCCCCTGCTCAAAGCAGGACCAATCCCCAATTTTTTCCCCAGATCCCTAAATGGCTCAAGGATTGAACTCACAACCCTGGGTTTATCAGGCCAATGCTCAAACCACTGACCTATCCCTCTCCCCCCAACCCAGCCTCCTTTTAGCTGAGCCTATTAATTCATGCAACCCCTCTAACTGATATCATCTAGGGGTGTGGCAGCTGAGCCAGCAAAGATGTGGCTGGCAGAGCCTGGCCACCTTTAGAGCCCTAATCAACCTCTGACAGGCAAGGGAGTGGCCTCTGTGTCCGGAATGTGTCTTTTGCTGTCCCACTGGGAAAGCCGCCCAAATCTAACCAAGGGATAAGCCGTTGGAAAAAAATTCAGTTTGCACATGCTCAATAGAAACTTGTTGGTGCTCAGCAGCTACAGTTTATGATGATTCCATCTGGCACAGAGCATGCTCCATTCCCTCACAGCTACTATGAACCTCCATCACAGCGCTCCTGGGCAGGACTTTCTCTACAATTGCTATTCCTGGCACCAGTACAATGGTTCCCACCCCGCCCCCAGCAGAAACATGAATTGTCAGTTATGCCCAGATGTCAAATGTTAATCTTTTCCAGAGCTTGGCAGATCGCTTAGAAGAACAAAATGCTTCCCCGCCAGGAAAGGAAGGGCTCAGATTTCAAACACAACTGTGTTAAGAGCCACCTATTTTGTCTCAGGGCTAACTGTTCATTTTGGATCCAAGCCATTTTCTTCATGGATTGATGCCTTTCAGGAAATTCTTTAAAAACAGCACCCCTTGGACAATGTTCACCCGTAAATCAGTATATCCTGAACGGTTGAGTGTGGAGTTTTTGTAGCTCATGCAAATCTTTTTTGTTACAGTAAAATTCACATTTTTGATCATTACTGGAGTGTTCATCTCATTCTGCAGCTATAAGAATCATGATGAAACTTCATATTTTTAGATATACTGGTTGAAACTGGATCCCCCCTCCCCATCCCTAGTAGCTGTCACAGCTGATGTCTGGAGTTCCTTACAAGGTCATGAGATCATTACACTATATCATAACAATGTCCCTGCAAACTAAATTGGATAGCACTAATAAACAGGTAATATGGAGTGACGTGCTAGAGAGCAGTACAATTTGGACCTGTTTTCCAAAGGTTGAGCTAATTAATCTATTATTGCCTTGCTTTTGTGATGTCAAAAGCTTTCTTTTAAAACCATGATTATACCTAATTAGCAGAAGGCTCTTCTAGTCCAGCACCCATTTGAACCACAATGATATTTGGACAATGATATTAAAAAACCCTCTTTGGTGGAAAGATAATTACTTGGCTGCAATAGGACTGTTCCGAGACTGAAAAGCGTGAAGAATGTAAACAGCAGAGAAGTTAAAAAGTGGAGCCATTGCGTCTGCGTCAATACCAAAAGTTATAGGAATCAGACTGGGTTAAGCAGTCTGAGAAGAAGAAGAATGAATCAATCCTGCAACAGAACAGGAAGTAGGAAATTTTCAAAAGTGCTCAGGGCTGTTCCCAGTGAAGTAAATAGTCAAACTCCTAGGGCCAGATTCTAATCTCATTTATACTAATGAGTTGTCTACATGGAAAGTTACTGCACGGCAAGCCATTGTGTGAATCTACAGCACCCTAGCTTGTAACATCCGGTGTGGACACTGCTACGGTGCACATAAAGTCTCCGAGTGCACCTTGATGTATATAGTAGATTCACATCCTGTCAGAGCTTTAGAGTAGCACATTACCCTCTGTTTTGGAGGGCATACTTCATAGTATCTTCTTCCTCTTCCCTCCTTGGTCCATAATTCTTGCTGTTTCTCTTTTAATAGTTTTCTTGATAAACTTTGAAATTCCTGCTTACTCAAAGGAATCAGTTTGTTTGGCAATTCTGAGTAGGTGGGGTGGAAAAAATGATAGATTTAGGGTCAGACCAACAAGGAAAATATTGAAATTTCTGGCAAGTCAAAGACAAGAAAAAAAAAAACTTTGTTTCTGGTCAAATGAAATGTTTTGTTGCAACAATATCAAACCATCTTGTTTCGATTTTGGCCATTTGTAATGATGCTTTTGTTTGTTTTTCCTGCAATGAACAATCAGCCCCCCCAAAAGTCAGCAAATACCAACAATCTGGCAAAAGTCAACAAAAATTCACAAGACATTTCTGTATTGCCAAATCTGCTTTTTGGGAAGAGGAAGGGGGCAAAAGAAAGTTTCAGCCAAAAAATTCTGGCCGATTCCACACATGATTAAATGCCAGTAGTTTATCTAAAGAGCATAACCTATTGTTAAAAAAAGGTACGTAACATTGTCCATAGATTTGGAGGACCAATAAAGTTGGACTCCAGTTTACACAGTTCTAAACAGGTGGTGAAAATTCTAATTCCCACTGGAGTTCCGCCATTCAAACATTTGCTCCAGAATAGCATTGTAATCAACATGAGACTGGAAGATCAGGGAAATGAGACAAAAAGGGCCGCCGACAGGCCCAGGTCTTAGGGAAAGAGTGTGTAGAGTCCCAGGCTAACCTAGCTCACAGGGGTAATGGGAAATCTCCAACAGTTCCAGGCAACAGAAATTGTCCACCAGTGTTTAATGCTAGACCTGAAAACTCTCAGAGACAGGTCTCTCAGCCCTGCTTTCCCCAAGAGCAAACCTGCAGCTGCCTCACTCCCTCCAAAGCCGGTGGACAGCTCCTACAAATGGCAACAATGGATGCAATACAAGCACTGACAATTACCTCTGCCCTAGGCATAAAGTATCTCCCCACAGCTCCCTTGACTCCTGGGTAGGGGGTGAATAACCTGACAGCATGATTCCTCCACAGTAGGGCTGAGGAGAGGGTGTAAAGTTGCTCCCAGTCACCTTCCAGCCTGAATGGATTTCTTGCTGGAGGGAGTTAAAAGGACTTGCAGCAAACCTGTGCAGAATTCTTCACTGCAAAGACTAGTGTGGCATTCACGCATTGGCAGGGAGCACTGGGGCAGAGGCCATATTGGATAATAGTGCCCTGGCAGGGGGCTGGGCTGGATGACTCTTAAGTAGTTTTCCTTCTCTAGCTTCAGTGATATAGAAATGATTAGAACAATTTTCACAGAAGGAAAAAACACCGTGTCCTTTCCCCAGGACACAGCTATCAAAACAAGCTGGTCTGATCAACTCCAAAATACTCCCCAGAGCTGGTCTGAGAACAAGCACCAAATCAAAAGTGGGACCAGATCCTCAGCTAATTTGAATCGGCTTCGCTCCATCAAGATCAGAGTGATGCCAGTTTACACCAGCCGAGCATCTAGCCTGTTGTTTCAGGGGAAGTTAGAGGTGGCCAAAATAGGGCTTGGGATGGAAAGTTTATCCTCAGTAGACAAGTTCGATCCAGGACCATAATTTAAGTAAGTCGTTATACGACAGTGAGATTCCTTATTCATTTATATTGCAAGAGCACCTAGGTGGCAAGCTTGTGAGCCAGGACCCCAACACGTATTGAATCCCTGTTAAGTTATTTGAGATTCATGGCTGATCTTCCAGAGATCAAGGAAGATTGTCTATTTAAGTATTTTTGTCCCAAAATGGGGTGGGTTTATTTGGCACTCTCGCTCTTTTCTTTTCACTTGAGCAGAAAGGTGTTTGGAACAGAAACCCTGCAGGCTCAGAAATCATTTCTCCACATAGGATGTGTTGTGGCAATAAGGGACCAGTTTATCTACAAGGGAAAAATTGATAGGTAGGTTGATTGGTCCGAGCACTGTAAAAAACAAGTTGCTGAAGGCGGACGTTGAAAAATGCGGCAACTGTAGGTTTTGCAATAGACCCACTTAAAAAAAAAAAACACATGTAATGATTCATAACGACCCATGGAACTAAAAACCAGAGTACCGGTGACCCACCTGTCATCTTTTAGCATCCTGCTAACAAGCTTAAAAGCACTGGTGAGGAGCAGAGTTTAGCCACAACCGGTTTGCACAAGGAAAACAAGATTCTGATTTTAGGAGAACATTGGTTCTTGTGCAAGGTAAGCCTTTTCCCCCTTCCTAGTATCCAGTTTCAGCGCTTTGAAGAAGTGAAGTCAGGGTGATGTATCTGATGGTAGGGAAAGGGTTAGAAATTCTAAATTATTCATAAAACTAGGGAGATTTTTTTTAAAAAAATTAAATAATCATTTGGATTTTGACTAACCTTCTCAGGAAACAGTCTGATTTACTTGCTTCAGTAATGTGTCACTGTCCTAGAAGTGACCAGCTAAAGGAAGATATGGGGATAATGAGCAATTTCAAACATTGGAGCTGGAACTAGGGGCGTAGGGGACACTGCTATGCCTCCTGGCTTGAAGTGGATTCCATCATCTACTGGGTTTATAATTTGATTCAATGACTCTCAGCATCCCCACTATAAAAATTGTTCCAGCACCCCTGATTTCAAACCTTTGAACCATTATTAATTAGACCTTCTAAAGGGTGTGTAGATATATATAAATAAAATACACTAAAGATTGTAAGGTGCTCAGCTGCTGTGGTAATGGGGACCATATAGACAGGAGTGCAGGGTAAGGTTTATTACCATTAAACGAGTCTTTGAAATATACAGCTGTTTTCTTGTAATCATGTACTTTTGATTATATATGCCTATAGGCAACCAGGTCCTAGGATCTAATTTTCTACCCATCAAAATGCTGGAAATGCAGTTTAAAATTACTTGTGTTGTGATTCATCCAGCTAAGGCTGGCTTTAATTTGTTGGCAAATTGTAACGTCGGGTGTTATTTCTTGTACAGAAGGCCAAATGAAAAGCCTACAGTGGCTCTACCTATATGGACTAGTAATCGCGGTGTTGATCCCAGCCAGCTGGCAGATTGTCCTCAAAGATTTGTCCGATGAGTCTAGGTAAGGTGCATTTGAGACTGACAAGTACACCATGGGTTGGTGGTACTGGGCTGAAGTAGGTGGAGATATCAGAAATGCTACCATCAGATACAGCTTAACAATGTCAATTACTCTGTTTTATTTGACAGGTTTCAGAGTAACAGCCGTGTTAGTCTGTATTCGCAAAAAGAAAAGGAGGACTTGTGGCACCTTAGAGACTAACCAATTTATTTGAGCATGAGCTTTCGTGAGCTACAGCATCCGATGCAGTGAGCTGTAGCTCATGAAAGCTTATGCTCAGATAAATTGGTTCGTCTCTAAGGTGCCACAAGTCCTCCTTTTCTTTCTGTTTTATTTGGCTTTGCTGCCAGGTGATGATACGGCATATTACAATGTGCAGCAGATGAAAAAGTGAATAAGATGGTGAGGTGTATTAGGAAAGCAGCACAGAATATGGACCATGTCATTATGCATTGCAGTATCGTCTAGGAGCCCTGGTGATCATAGAATCATAGGACTGGAAGGAACCTCAAGAGGTCATCTAGTCCAGTCCCCTGCACTCCTGGCAGGACTAAGTATTATATAGACCATCCCTGACAGGTGGTTGTCTCACCTGTTCTTAAAAATCTCCAGTTAGAGATTTCACAGCGTCCCTAGGCAATTTATTCCAGTGTTTAACTATCCTCACAGGACGTTTTTCCTAACGTCTGACCCTAAACCTCCCGTGCTGCAATTTAAGCCCATTGCTTCTTGTCCTATCCTCAGAGGTTAAGGACAAACAGTTTCTCTCCCTCCTCCTTGTAACAACCTTTTATGTACTTGAAAACTGTTATGTCCCCCCTCAGTCTATTCCAGACTAAACAAACCCATTTGTTTCAATCTTCCCTCATAGGTTGTGTTTTCTAAACCTTTAATCATTTTGGTTGCTCTTCTCTGGACTTTTTCCAGTTTGTCCACCTCTTTCCTGAAATGTGTCACCCAGAACTGGACACCATACTCCAGCTGAGGCCTAATCAGAGCGGAAGAATTACTTTTCATGTCTTACTTACAACACTCCTGTCCTGCTAATACATCCCAGAATGATGTTTGTTTCTTTGGCAACCGTGTTACACAGACTCATTTAGCTTGTGATCCTCTATGACCCCCAGATCCCTTTCTACAGTACTCCTTCCTAGGCAGTCATTTCCCATTTTGTATGTGCACAGCTGATTGTTCCTTCCTAAGTGGAGTCCTTTGCATTTGTCCTTATTGAATTTCATCCTATTTACTTCAGACCATTTCGAATTTTAATCCTATCCTCCAAAAGAACTTGCAACCCCTCCACAGCTGGGTTGCTCCTAGCTCTGCCACTGGTTTACTGGGTGACCTTGGGCAAATCATTTCACTGCCCCATGGCTCAGTTTCCCCATCTATAAAATGTGGATACGATGCTGACTCCCTTTGTAAAGCACTTTGAGATCTACAGTAGACGCACTAAAGAAGAGTGAGGTATTATTAATTGTATATAGTGTAGCTCTATGTAAGGAAATGTATGTTTTGGTTTTATGGTAGCACCTACAGGCTCAGACCAAGATCAGGGCCCTGTTACACTAGATACTATCCAGAAAGAGATTGTCTGGGCCCTGAAGAACTTAGTCTAAACACACACAGGATGAAAGGGATGTGACTTACATACAGTTACATTGCCATAGCAAGTCAGCAGCAAGGGCAGGAACAGAATTCATGCCTGCCAACTGCCACTACGGTGTGCTATCCACAGGACCCCGTACCCATCCCATCCCAACACCCTCCTTAACTTTTCCCCATCCCTCTCTCCCGAACAGATGGCAATCTTTCGAATCGAAAAGCGCTCGGAGTTTTACTTCCAACATCAAGAGGCATTCCGAAGGCACCTTCACCAGTGATTTTACCAGATATTTGGACAAGATGAAGGCCAAGGACTTTGTGCACTGGCTTATCAACACGAAACGTTACAGGTATGCAAGTGGAATATGGCTGAAATGGAAGAACAGGGACACGGTTCTCGGCAGACTCCTGAGAACTGAGTGACTCAAGGATTGGAAGGGGACAGCCTCGGACTGCTCGAAAGATTTCCGTCAAAGCTGTTTCACAGTGGAAAATTGGGGGTTTTGACAAAATGAATTTTTTCATGCAAGTATTGGCTTTCTGTGGGAGATTTTGATCTTTTGTCAAAAAGCCAGAACACTCACCAACCGAAATAGTTTGGCCAAAAACCAAAATAGTTTGGCCCAAACCAGAAAATGGATCCGTTAGTGGCCCATTTTTCAGGGTTCAAAATTTCCACCCAACAAAATTTGAAGATTCTGTAGAAATGTTTAATTTTAAAAAAAAAAAAGCCACCTCTCTTCATTTGTCAAAATTTTCATTGGAAATTTTCTTGCGGGATGGGGAGTGGGTCAGATTCCCACAGAGAGGAGTCAAGGCTGGGTTCTTTAGGACAAACTCTGGGGTATGCCTCCTAGGCCAGGCAGACAGACAGTCATGGCTAGCTCTCTTCGAGCTACTGCACTGAAAATAGTTGCCTAAATACAAGCCCACCTGACCCCCTGGGTGTGTTTTAGGTGGCTGGCCCAGGCCATAATCTCCACACTAGCTCGAGCAGAGGTAGTACATGACCGTCTACCCAGGCTGGAAGGCCTGCTGTTCCCAGCTGCAGTGTAGACATAGCATAGAGACAGGGCCTCTGAGGGTACCAGAATCCCTCTCTGATCACCCAAATGGCAATGCTCCAAAGCGGCCTGGGCAGCTGTGGAGGGGCAAGCACATGGGCACAGGTGTCTTGGCTGGAAGACTCAGAACCGGTAGAACAGAAGTCAATGAGGGGCAGTTTTTAAGGGGGAAGAGTTTCCAAAAGATCGGGCAGAAGGGAAAGATAAGGCATAAATAAAAAATAATTTCTTCTGCTCTTTAATAATGCAGTATACCAAGGAGTGAGGGTTGAATGGCTGTTTTGCACAGTTAGTACATTCACAGATGGATTTTTCTTACTTTCCACAGCTCTACAAAGAGGTACATAAAAGGAGACCACAACGTTATCTCCTTCCCTTCTGACCACTCACTATTTAGGTAAGTCAGATACACGTTGAATTTCCAAACGTCTATTTCTTGCAAACTGCTCCCACAGCTGGGTTGTCCTGACTTCTGAATCAGACACCATGAGCTAAAGAACCAGTACATCAGCTTGAGGTCAGTAGCAAACTTTGAGCCCCTGCAGCGGGGGGGGGGGGGTGTTAGCCTGGATTACACACTCCCTTTGCCTGGGGAAGACTGTCCCAAACAGAGCGGGTTGAGAACATTGGGTCATCAAAGTCAAAATGTTTCATGCGACCGTATCGATATCAAAGATATTTTCCCCAGAAATTGTTTGAAATCATTCAAATTTGCAATGGCCTATTTTGTTTGGACAGTCCTGGTTTATTGCTCTGATTTTCTCATATTAATTTTAAATATACTTCTACATTATCAAAGCAAAAATGTTTCAATGAGATTTTTCGGTGTTTCCAAACTGACATTTTTTGGCATTTCTGTTCTGCAGAAAAATATGAAATTTCAATTTTTCATCCCAATTTAAGACAAAAACAAGTGTCAAATGCCATTTTTGACCAGTTCTAGTACCAAGCGTTAGAGGTCTGAGCAATTCTATTTAAATCAGCAACAGATATTGAACGAGAGGCTTTCAGATCAGAAACCCTGGGCTCCTACCTTCTCAGCTAGACAATCCTTTGCCTAGCAGCCCCATAGACCTATGTATATGGTCTAACCGGTTGAGCTAGACATTTTGTTAGTGTTGGCCAGTCAATCTCCCGAGCAAAAACAATTCATGGAACTAATGCAGTACTAGACTATGGTAAGGGTGTAAGTTAGACTGCCCAGAGCAGAGCCAGACTCCATATTACTCTAGTCCCTGGTACCTCCTGGCTGGCTGGGGAAAGTCATACCTGGCACAGACCATTTTCCTCTCCGTGTTGGTTCACTGCGTTGACCAATGCGTTTGATGGGACAGACTCAAGGCTCCCCGCCCTTGCCAAGCTGCTCGCTGCCCACTGGCAAAGGGAGGGTAGTAGTAGGCTGACAACAGTGCTTGATGGGTAGCAATACTGGTAGGCTGCACAGGAGAAAAAGAGGGAGCTTTATGCCCCGTTACTCCCCTGTGCTGAGGCATGTGAAGGGGCAGCATTTCCGTGAATAAAAGACTAAAACCAAAACAGCTGTCAGCTGATTGCAGACTGTTCACAAACAGAAAGAGAAGGTGACTTAATTATCTTTCTAGCCCAACAAATAAATTGGTAGCAAACAGTACACGTTAACCAGACCCTGTCTAAAGTATTGACCTAGCAGCTACTGATTTAGGAGGAAATCTATACTTATTTTAACCCCAAATGTAAGCCATCCATTGCAGTCCCAGGAATCGCTGAACAGCAACGGCTAACACCACTACCATGTTTCACTGCCCTATATTTCTGAGCTCCTATGGCGTTCTGTGTTTGTTTCTTAGGTCCAATTAGCCACCAGACCAAGAAATCAGCTTTGTGGAAGGATCTTCCCACAGCTGTCTAGTGGATCTAGTCACATCTGACAACGATCAAAGGATTCTTCAATGAAACTGAATTGTACTAAGTGTTCATGGCTCCCCGGGTATTGTCATGACAAGGTATAGTGAAATATCCAACATCTGTGATGAAATGATGTCAGCACGCCGATTTGTTTCGACCCTTTACACTACTGTTTTAGTGTTGTCTGTAGGCTGCTTCTCTGGCACCAGAGTTTCTGCACGTTCTCGTAAATGACAATAAAAACCATGCTAAATGAAGCCTTTTGTTTTTTCAAGCCAAGATCTGCCATATTTTAGAGTAAGTCATCCTGATAATTTTCCAAGTGGAATTTTTAGTGGGGGGAGGGGGGGAGAAATCTACAAAACAGCATCCAAGGGCCAAAGATATTTAAGGTTTCAAGTCATACACACACCCTGAAGCATGTGCTAAACATTAACATAGGCCTGTGTGAGAAAGGCCTTTGCTCCAAGACAGCCATCGCTCTGTACAACAGCTGGACAACGGGGTCCTGGTCCGTGATGGGGGCTCGTAGGTACTTCATATCATGCAAACAGGACAAGACTGGTAGTTGTAAATATAATTCAGCCTGTTGGACTCAGGTTAGAAAGGACACCCCTGCAAGCCCCAAAATATGCAGTTAGGTGAGATTGAATAGCCATGCCTTGCTCTTATATAAGAAGACTTTTCCCCCATAGCTCTCAGAGCACTTTACAGAGGAGGTAAGTATCATTATCTCTATTGGGAAACTAAAGGCACAGAGGCAAGTTGAGTTACCCAAGATTACCCAACAGTCTAGCCAGGAATACAACATGGTTCCTGGGGATCCCTGTTCCAGGTTATAGCCACAGAACCAGGTCCATGTTCTGCCCTAAAGCCACCGTTTGAGCACTTTCTTAACTTTAAGCAGCTGCTTGAGTCTCATTGAAGTCCATGGGATTTCAGCAGGCACTTTGCCAAGTCAAGGCATTAGCTCAATCCAGACATGTCTTCTGACTTCATGGGGGTCAGGGACACGTGGCCAAAGGTGGAGCACAGCTGCTGGCTTTATGCATTTCCCCCCATCCCAGGGTACACTCACCATAGATAGCACCTCCTCCTGGCCGCTCAGGGGACTAGCTCTTTCCAGGTCCAAGGCCCCATTCCACTGCTCACGGCATTCCCTGCTTCTGCCTTCCCCAGCTCGCCGTGACTCAGCCTGTTCCCTCTTCATGACTTGACCCTCCAGCCAAGTCACTGTGTGAATTTCCCCTTCCAGGGGGACCAAAATCTTTCCTTATCAGCAGTCTTCTCATTTGCTACTCCTATGGTGCCACTTCCCCAGGGCTGGTAAGGGAACCCACGCTCACTCTCTGCTCCAGGTTCCAGTCCAGGGACCCTCTAATGGGCAACTGTAGGATCCTGTTGCTCTTTTCCTGGACTCCCTCCTACAGCTTCCAGCTTTCAGGAAATAACTGCAAATCACTCAGTTCTCCCATACCTCTTAACTCCCAGGGAACAACTGCAAGCTACTTCCCTGCAGCCCCTTTCTTTTGCTAGCCTTCATCCTAGCTCCACCTTTTCCTTCTCAGCTGAGCATCGTCATCCTTACTTTGGGCACCCAATTCCCCTTAGCTGTGGCCTTAGCTGGTTAATTGGCCCCTTCTCAGCCTCATTAACCTCTTCCAGGCATAGGTGCTAGAACTAAAGTGCTGCAGCTCGGGTGACCAGATAGCAAGTGTAAAAAATTGGGACACGGTGTGTGTGTGTGGGTGGGGAGGGGTAATACATTCCTATATAAGAAAAAGCCCCCAAAATTAGGACTGTCCCTAAAAAATCGGGACATCTGGTCACCCTAGCTGCAGCACCCCCTGGTTTGACATGGTTTCCATCCTATCCCGGATTTAGTTTGGTCCAATGGCTCTCAGCACCCCCACTATACAAATTGTTCCAGCACCCCTGCTTCCGGGCTGTTGTGGGGTGAACACCTTCTCCCCCCAAAAACAGCTGTAGCTGCATTAGGGTTTGTAGAACTTGTCGTTGTTTTATAGCACTTGCTGGCAAAGAAAGGAGATTCTCATCACTGAATCTTGACTTTATTAAAGGTGTCTCGCCCCTTTCTGAAGGGGGGGAAACAAAGTGAATCTAAAACTGAAATAAAATGTCTCTCCTAAGCGGCTCCATAGAATAAAATGCAGGAATGTTGCTATAAGAACTCAACAGCTGTGCTCTGTAGCGGTCATCACTACATTTGTGGATTTCAACTTCTTCTTTTGTTTTTAATCCATTAGAAGTTGGGGGAATTCGCTGTAGTTTGGGAGTCAGGCATCCAACTCCCCAACAGGAGCCGGACTCCTTTCTTGCACTGCTGAGAAATCTTTAAGTGCATGGGGGAAGGTTAAGCCCATTGAGAGGCTTCCTAAAGACATAGGTGATAAGGTCACACTGTGTCTATCCCAGGGGTGGGCAAACTATGGCCTGTGGGCCGGATCCGGCCTGCCAGCCATTTTAAACCAGCCCTCGAGCTCCCACTCGGGAGCAGGGTCTGGGGTTGGCCCACTCCGGCACTGCAGCCAGGAAGCAGAGTTGGGGACCGCTCCACGCAGCTCCCAGAAGCCGCGGCATGGCCCCCTTCCAGCTGCTACGCGGTCCAATGGCCTCACTCCAATGGCCCGCTCCGGCACTCCAATGGGAGCTGCAGAGGTTGTGCCTGAGGATGGGGCAGCATGCACAGCCGTCTGACTGAGCCTCCACATAGGAGACAGAGAAGGGACATGCCACTGCTTCTGGGAGCTGCTTGAGTTAAGCGCCATCCGGAGCCTACACCCCTGAGCCTCTCCCCATGCCCCAACCCCCTGTCCCAGCCCCGATCCCCCTCCCATCCTCCAAACCGCTCGATCCCAGCCTGGAGCACCCTCCTGTACCCCAAACCTCTCATCCCCAGCACCACGTCAGAGCCCACATCCTAAGCCGGAGCCTGCACGCCCCCCGCCCCCAGCCCAGAGCCCCCTCCCACACCCTGAATGCCTCATTTCTGGCCCCACCCTGGAGCCCACACCCCCAGCCAGAGCCCTCACCCCCTCCCACACCCCAACCCCAATTTTGTGAGCATTCATGGCCCACCATACAATTTCTATTCCCAGATATGGCCCTCGGGCCAAAAAGCTTGCCCACCCCTGGTCTATACAGTAGGGTGCTGGGAAGCTGGGCATGAAAAGAAAAGGGGAAAACATGAATAAATCTTGTTAGAAAAGCTGGGAGAGCTGGGGACGGTGTTGACGGAAATCGGTGAGGAGAGGCTGGCCTAGCCCATGGCATCAGATTAACGTCTATGTCTCTAGCCATTTATTGTGCTACACAGACACTGCCTAATTTAGAATCAGCTAGTCGCTTCTTTCACGAATCCTCCCCAGCCCACCCCCAAGCTAAATGACAAAAGATCTTGTCCGCTTTTGCAATAATTAGGGGCAAAGCTTTCTCTCTACTGTTAGGACACCCTTTCTCTCCACTGTCCTTTTTTCACCCGCAAGTTATATACACTCTTCCTACAGACACTGTACATCAGCTACACTCTGCCACGTCTCTTGTGCCCAGGAAAATCAGCAAAACAGGTTGCATTCACAGTGCATTTTAATTTGGATCTCTGTTACACCCTTCAGGCCTTGACTCAGCCAGGTGTTTGCCCAACATTAAGCAAGCAAGTCATCCCATGTGACTCCTCACAAGCTTAAGGTTGATTTCCATGGGTTTAGTGTTTGCTCCTTGTTTAAGTATCTTGCTGAATAAAAGCCAAAGGCTGTAGAGTTTGTTGAGTAATACGCGGCAAACAATATTTGTGGTGGATTTGGGTAAGGTTTTCAATTTTTTTTTTAAGGTAACTAGCAGGATCAAAAGGCACCTAAATCTCATTCATTTTGGCTTTTGAAAACCCCATTAGGGACCCAAATACCTTTTAAAATCTGGTCCTAAGTCTGTAGGAGTAGAATTGGGGTTTTGTTTGTTTTTTTGGCCCCCAAAAAATGCAGATTTGATGACACCAAAATATTTCACAAATTCATGTCAGTTTCACCAAATTGTTTTAGCTGGAAAAAAAAAAAAAAAAAAAAAAATCTGAAAAAAATCAAAACATTTCAATTTTTCCTTCTGAAATTTTTATTTCAAAACTTCGTTTTTTTAAAAAAACTCAAATGTGAAGAATGGTTGAAATGTAAACAAAATGTTTCAGTCGACCCCAAATGGTTTGGGGTTTGTTCTGCTGACATTTCGATTTTCTGGAAATTTCAAAACTTTTAGTTGTGAATCTTGAAACTTGTTTCAACCTGAAACAATTTTTAGTTGTGTAGCTGTAGGAGCCTAAGTCCCATTTTCAAAAGTGATGAAGGGCCACATTTTTAAAGGTAGTTAGGCACCTACTGGGGTTTTCAAAAGCATGTAGGCAGGCTCATTGGGAGAAATTTGGGGCCCCAGCACGTCATGTTTGCTAGGGCCGCCCCCCTCCCACTTCATTTGATTTACACAGAGATTTGGGGAGAGGGGGCCTGAGCTCAGGTCCCCAGTACAATTGTCTCCCTTTCCCTGCTCTTGACAGTTCTGCATCTAGCCACCTAACACCCACTGAAATTAATGAGATCGAGGTGCCAAGGTGTTTCTGAAACTCCCACTAGGTGCCTAAACATTTTCATTGAGATTTAGGGTAAAAATATCCAAAAGCACTGTAATAGGGTGTCCCTGCCTAGGGCGCCCTGCAGTGGCAGGCCACAGCATGACCTGCACACCTGCCTCAGTTTCCCTTTTTTCCTGCCCACAAAAGAAGCATAGCCCCTCGGTGTGAGATACAAAGTCCCTCCTCTGGCGATGATTTATTCATATACACCCCAGTGCAGTAGTTCCTCCAAAACCCTGGTCGTAAAACCATTCTCGGCAAACCCACAGTCAAAGTATACAGGTTCCTCAGTTTTCCCAGTCCTCTCTATTGGGACATCACCTCCAGGTCCCCCACGCAGGCATCAGTAGCAGTACTATGTCCCCAGTTCCATTTGTCTCTAGTCCAGGGCCCCACACTCCAGGTCGTCCTTCTGAGAGTGAGCCATCCCCTGACTCTTACCCCCAAGAGAGCTCCCCACAGGGTCCCTCAGGGGAAGCGCTCTCCAGGACCCATCCCTTGTCCTCCTCACCCCTCCGGCAGCTCTCCACTCCAGTCCTCACCTCAAGGGCTACCTGCAGTAGGCAATGAAGCCTGGGGAGTGGAATGCAAGTCCGACCCCTGCTCAGGCAGGGCCTGACCAAGCTGGATCTTTCCTTTTCCTAAGGGTCCCATGGACCAAACCTTCCCCAGCTTTGGTCAGTTCTCACCACCGGTTCTGCTCCAGCTCTTTGCCGAACTCAGCTCTCTTGACAGAGTCTCCTGTAGCTCTCTCCTGCAGACTTGTTTTTTAGGCAGCTCTCACTTGCTGATCACCTCCATTTAGAAGCCAGGTGCCTTCTCGAGCCAGGTACGTTGGCCTCTTCCTTCTCAAAGGGAAGCACCAATGGGATTTAGGTGCCTAAATTCCATTTTTAAAAGTCACTTAGGCGACTATGTGTCACTGAAAGTCAATGGAATTTAGGATCCTATGTGACTTTTGAAAATGTTACCCTGAGCAACTTCTGATTAACAACACCTGCTTAACTTGCCATATCTGAGAAGTCCCATTGAGCTCAATGGGGCTATTCATCTGCTTAAAGCTAAGCACATGCTGAAGGGCTTATCTGGATCAGGGTCAGAGTGCACTGCCCCGCCCCGCAAAACTGAGCTCCTTGGTGCAGTGCTTTTCCTCCACAAAAAAGGGAAAAGCAGTCGAACACAACTGTGGTTTCCTTTGGATATGTCCGCAAATCCACCCCAGCACTGTTTACTCAGTGTTCCCTTCTCCCCTTCGGATTCCTGCCATCTCTCTCAATGTGCAGCGCCAGTCAAAAAAAGCAAACAGAATGTTAGGAATCATTAAGAAACGGATAGATAATAAGACAGAAAATATGACTGACTCTATATAAATCCATGGTACTCCCACATCTTGAATACTGCGTGCAGATGTGGTCGCCCCATCTCAAAAAAGATATATTGGAATTGGAAAAGGTTCAGAAAAGGGCAACAAAAATGATTACGGGTATGGAACGGCTTCTGTAGGAGGAGAGATTAATAAGACTAGGACTTTTCAGCTTGGAAAAGGGACGACTAAGGGGGGATATGATAGAGGTCTAAAAAATCATGACTCGTGTGGAGAAAGTAAATAAGGAATGTTATTTACTCCTTCTCATAACACAAGAACTAGGGGTCACCCAATGAAATTAATAGGCAGCAGGTTTAAAACAAACAAAAGGACGTATTTTTTCACACAACACACAGTCAACCTGTGGAACTCTTTGCCAGAGGATGATGTGAAGGACAAGACTATAAGAGGGTTCAAAAAAGAACTCGATAAATTCATGGAGGATAGGTCCATCATGGCTATTAGCCAGGATGGGCAGGGATGGTGTCCCTAGCCTCTGTTTGCCAGCAGCTGGGAATGGGTGACAGGAGATGGATCACTCGATGACTCCCTGTTCTTTTCATTCCCTCCGGGGTACCTGGCATTGGCCACTGTCGGAAGACAGGATAGTGGGCTAGATGGACCTCTGGTCTGACCCAGTGTGGCCGTACTTATGTTCTCTCCAACAGAAAGATTTTTTCTCTTTCAAATACACTGAAGGTGGCACACAGAGTCAAACAAATTTTTTTTATTATTTGTTTCCATTATTTTCGATGAGCTACAGATCAATCAAAGACAGGCACCGTTCTGACTGTTGAGGTACCACGATCACCAAGCAACATTTCACAGACACAAAGCACGAGACAGCAACAGTTTTTTACATAACAAACCCAAACAAAACCCCCAACCCTGAAATAAACTCAATCAAATCACATGTCGGACTTTTAGCAAACAGTTTAATTTGTAAATAACACGTCGTTCCATACTGTTTCCCCATTTTATTTACAACGTGGAGTGTTTGCAAACTACATCATCTCTTACAACAAAATAAATATATTTCGGTATCTCTACAAAGAAAATAAATTTCTCCATTTCTACATGTAGCGTAAGAGGAGGAAAAAAATATACTAGAAAAAATGTGCCAGCACCATTTTGCCTTTTTCCCTTTCTTGTTTAGAGACTATTATGCACTTCACTTTAGCTCTTATTTCACGGGGACCGAAGGGAACTAGGCATCAGATTCCCTTCGCGAACTTTGGTGTCTAACTCCTCCCAGCCTTCGTCATTCTCTGAACTAAAAAAATCAAACAAATTAGATCTATCGGATTTACAGGGGACTATTAAAATATGCCTTACGAGAGCGAGCAAAGACATGAACTTATGTGAATGTAAAATAATCCACCCGTTAGAAATCATCTCTGTTTCTTGGTACTATAGGTGTTTAAAAAGAGAAACGGTGCCCATTTAAAACACCTTGAGCTGATGGTACATTTTGCTCCAGAGGGAAATTTTCAAAGTCACACATGGGAATTAGGAGCCTAATTTGTAGTGAAAGTCAAGGGAGTTAGGTACCAAACAGCCACGTGTGCCTTTGAAAATCTTTCCAGAGTGTATTACAGTATTGCCAACCTCGAGTAGTCAAAAATAATGAGTCAGACCCTCCCAAAATTACAAGATGAATTAAAAGCATGAGATTTTTGAAATGATAAATTGGGGGGGGTAAAGGGGAGGTCCTGATGTTTTTTTTTTAATGTTAGGGTTCACTGGAGTAACATTTTCAACCATGAGAGCTAGATTTTTTCTTAAATAAAAGCTGAGATTCTCATGTCATCACCTGACTCCAGGACCTGGACCTTCAAATCAAAACACCAACATAACATATGTGAGAATATCACAAGAGCTGGCAACACTGTGGGATTCTGACTTCATCATCTTGGAGGAGCTAGTTCTATCAGTAGTGCCAAGGCAGAATGTAAAAATAATCCTCGAAGGAGAGCTATGAAATGGTTAGAGCGATGCTTGAAATAAATGAAAACAAAGAATTTATTTTAAAGGAAGGGAAAGGTTAGTAATGATGCACGGGTAGAAAGATTTTGCCCTGAGATGCAAAAAGATAAAAGATCTTTTATGAAATGTGATTCGCCCAGCTCTAGTAAAGGTCACCTAGTTGTTCCAGAGAGAGGTTCTTTATCAGTCCTTCTGCCCTGTTGTGTCTTCCATCCACCGCAACATCTCATGCCCTTCTGTCCAGCACCCTCCCAATCACAGCATAGCTACCTCCACCCCATTACCTCAGCACAGTATCATCTCTCTCGCCCCACACAGCATCCCTTTGAATACTCTCCCCAGAGCACATTCCTCAGCACAGCATCATGTCCCACAGCACAACATCCCCCATAAACCCCCGTACCTTCCCCAGCCCAGCCCCATGCTCCTGCATTCTCCACTAAGATTGGTCTATCACCATGCCCCCGTGAGGCCTTAGGCATGTGTGTAGAAGAGGAGGCATGGCTGGGGACTGGACATTGAAGTGTTCGCAGAGACACTGCCCTACATCCTTTGGGGAGCTGCACAATTCGACCCTGCTCAGTGGAAGAAGAAGGGGACTCACACATTTCTATTTGTTATCAATCTAGTGTGAAATCAGTGATGGGACAGATTCTCCATCATTTACCCCAGTGCCAAGTGTAAAATGCAAGGCTCTAAAACACACGAGGCCAACCAGAATAGAAGCCCTTCACATTGGTGTAAATGACTGCACAAGAAGAGCAGAGAACCAAGCCTTTCTATGGGATGTCTTTAGCTGACGGATTACAAAGTAATTAGATTCTTTGGTGTTTGCAACCTGCTTCTGCATGTCCTGTTCTAGAAACAGGTCAGCTATCTAGTCATTACCGTTAGGTAACAAGTCAACCAATCATGATACGTGGTAGGAAACAGAGGCATGCTCAAAACATAGGCAATGAAGATGGCAGCTAAACATTGATGTTGACCCTCGGGATCTTTGGTGTTTTCCTTAAAGCTCCTGCTTCTGGAGTCATGTTGTTATGCAAGAACCTCAGCTTTCATAAAACAAAAAAAGCTTCTAGCCTTCCTGGTTGCAGAGAAAAACTTGAAATTATGACTTGAGAGCACCCTACAGGCTCAGAAACTAGAAGGCAAAATGAACCCAAAATGTGACTGTTTCCTCCCCGCCCTCCCCATTTGTTAGTTTTTGGTTCTCTTGATCTCATGGTTTTTAAGTCAATCTCATGATTTCTGAACAGTTTGGGGACTGGCCATACTGGTTACGTCTCTTGACTGGGACTGTCTATTTTGATTCTAGCTGAGGGCCCAGTTCCTGGCAAAGCTCTGCAGTTTTACTGTAGGTTGGGTTTTACTTATTTAAAAGGAGGGGATGTGGTATTGAAGGCAGCTGTGGCTGTGTTGTAAACAGTTCCACAATGTGCGTCATTTTACTCCATCCGTAATACAAGCAAAAGCAGGCCACTTTTAAAGATATAGCCAGCTCTCCCTGCGCAATGTCATCACTTTCAACCACTCCATAGTGCTCTCATTTTTAAAGTAAAAAACAAAAATTGTTGCTAAAGACACTTAAAGGGACCCAGTAGTTATTTTTTAGAGAAAGCATATAGAAATAAGTGTTCTCCTGTCCAGTAGAAACAATTGTAACCATTGCATAAACAAGCCATTTTATTATTTCACGGAACTCTCATTTCTTTTTAAAATGGCAGGAAAATCATGGATTTTCTCCATGCTGTATTTTTCTTCCCTGGCGTGGTCAGCGGGAGCAAACAATCTAACTAGTTTGAACACAGAGCTTGATACATTTATGAATAGAGTTATATGATGGGGTGACCAGGAGACTGGATTGTATCGTTATATGGAATAATGATATAAATGAGCATATGCGGTAACAGGAGACTGGACTCAATGATCCCTTCAGTCTTATTTAATGAAGGAGGAGATGCTTGTTTCAGACACTGACGGGTCAGCTACAGCAGGTCGTTACTCCTACAAGTGCTTCTGGATCTGAATGCAAAGAACGCCCCCCTCGACCTCAGCTCAAAGGTTGTAGCTGACTCATGAACGTCTAACCACTTGAGGGACACAGACAGCCTCGCTGCGTAAGGATGGGTTACACTGACACAGACGTCCAGGATAAAATAGCACGTTACATTAATGGATCCGCGCCGTCACAAGTTCTGTGCAGACGCAGCCAGACAGGAGTGAGAATAAAACCCAAGCGGCCTGTTATCAGGGAAGGGAAAGCAGAGCTAGAACAAGAGGCCTGGCCTTTTGCTTCCTTGAGCTGACACATTTTCAGCTCCCAGGGCAGTTGACCTGAAGGTCCCTCCCCACTAATGGTCATTAGCAGAGAAGAGGACTGGAATTCCGCTATGCTTCAGTGGGCCCTTGGTGGATGACTGGATCAGGAACCCCACCCCACCCCTGCATCAGACTGAGAATCAAAATGGACCCTTCTGATCTATCAATCTTTGAATTCTGGGCTGAGGGAGATTCCCAGCTTTTGACAAGGGGCCTTAGATCTCTCAGACCCTAGTCCTTACTGCAGCACCCTACAGATTGCGGTTGCCTGATGACTAAGTCAAGCCTATTAGCATCTTTATCATTCAATAGCTGAAGGAGGGCATTATGCAAGTGCCCGAGGGAACCAGGCAGCCCTTTGCCAATGGAGGCAGCCGGTAAATGTGTCGCCAACATCTTACTGGCCGCAGTAGCAAAGGCAGGAGTTGCGAAGGATGTAATGCATCCACATTCCCAATGTGTACCCTGTAAGGACCCTGCTTCAGCAGGGGAAACCAAAGCTGCAACCAACAGGCCAACTCTTTTAGATCCTGGCCAGCACGGATTTTCAAGCTGCAGCCGCGCATAAGAACCACTGCAGGTTCATAGCTGTAATTGCTATAGGTAGTGTGTGTGAGGGAACAGGGACGAGTAAACGGTATTCTGAGTCAGTTTTCCCACCCCATGGCACTTTCATCACTCCTGCGACAGAACTTCCTTTCCTTCCCGCTCCGCCAGGTGTCCCGTCAACCATCTGCAGAAGTCTTCTGGGTTCCCTCACCATCTTTTCTCAAGATCTGTTTGTATTTTCATGATCCCCCCTTCACCCGCCAAACTTACTGGCTGCAAGCTAGGAACTTTTTTTCAAATTAGTCTGTTTGTAGGCCATTGGGCTGCTCTGAATTGATCCTGCAAGCCTTGGAGAAAATCACTTTTCACAGAAACAGGAGCCACAGAAAAAAATCCTTTCCAAAGCTTTCGCGCTACAAGCGGTGGTCAGTCTGATATATAAAAACCATAGGCGGGTAAAAGACTATTCTAAAGTTTCCATCTCACAAGGATGGGTGTAAAGATCAAGGGGTTATAACAAAGCTCTACTGTGATACAAGAAAACAATATAAAGCGCTGCCCAAAAATACTACCCAATGGGTTCCTCTTCAACCAAATCTGTTGGGGTAGCAAAAATAATTCAATCTTTCCCCGCTACCACCCCATTCTTATGCTAAATTTAGAAGGCCTGATTCTGATCTCACTTCCACCATTCAGATGCCAGCATAATGATGGAGTTACGCCCACTTTACACCAGTGAGGCTGGAATGAGGCTCGGCCCCTGTGTAACACTTTCCACAGGCGCTTAATAATACAGTAGATCGGGCAACTGTATTAAAAGAAGAAATTTCCACTGAAACTATTCCTTTAAGAGTATGAGCGATGTACACTGACATCATGGATGCTGAAAAAGCAATTTACAAAGCAAATAAATCAAAGTACATTCGTTTTATAATTCAGGGCTCCACATTCAGCCCTCTGGATGATCATAATCAGTCAGATCAATCATTCTGGACGGAATAAATGAAAGCATTTTAAAAAGAAAGGAGACATATGTTTGGAGTGAGTTTCACTGCAGGCGAAAGTATTTACAGTAAACAATCAAGTCCTGTTCGGGTGAGTAAGTGCTACCATAACATCTATCCACGCTGCAGGACGGTCAGTAAACTGGGAAAGCTCTGGATCGTAGACTAGTCACATTTGCTTGGAAAAAGCATAAAAGATTCCACCAATAAGAAATCCATGTGCTTTTTAAAAACATGGGCCCTGATCTTGAAAAATCAAACCTTTGGGGACTCTCTTCTTGAATTCGATGGGAACTGAGTTTTGGCTGAGTAAGAAGGGCAGAATGAAGCCCTGATTCAGCAAGGTATTTAAGCACCTGATTGAATTATAAGCATCTGAGTAGGCCCGTGAGAGTCAACAGGTGAGATTCTGGGTTGTACCTCTAAGAGGCACCGCACAGAGGAGGGTGGGGCTATGTTACCTTTGTGCCTTTCTGATCCTGGCCTGCACCAGGGACTGCAGTGGCCCCTGCTGTAATTTAGAAACCCCTGGGGGCCTGTCAAAGTTACGGCAGCCTCCCAGGGCTGAGCTATGGGCCACAGCACTGCTGGGATCGCTGCGCCCTTTGACGCAACCTTCCCAGCTCTGGCATGCCCTCTACTGCAGAGATGTACAGAGGGTTCATCAGAGGACAGCCTTATGGTGCTACCGGTGGAATCCTCCCCAGCTGAATCTGTGGCTTGTAGAATCCCTCTGCTCCAGGGGAACGGGACGGAGAGTTCTGCCCCAGACTGGGATGAAGGACTAGATGGCCCCTCGAGATCCCTTCCACCTGTATGATTCCCTTATGCACAGAACTAGATGTATTTAAAGTTACGTGCTTAAGTGCTTTGCTGAACGCGGCCTTCAGACGAACCCTGATTTCGAAAAGGGATTTGATAGCTGATCTGATTGTGATACGCTGCCAAGCGGTATAACAAAGAGAAAGTCCCCAGACTATGATACAGCTAGACGATATGACAGTCATCTGACAGCTCTTGTTTTCAGATGACATATTAATTATCATTGCCTCTTTCCGCCCAAGAAGTGAGCACCACGAGACTGCAGTTTTCTCCAAATCGTGCAGGGTTAGAACCTATTCGCTGAAGAGCTGGTGTGAACAAATCTTGGGCTGACGCTCACACAGGGGCGCGTCATTGCGGCATTCAAGCTTTTTTGATTGGCCTCCAAGGTCACAACCAATGTTTCTGGCCCATCACAGGACGAGGGTGATTCTTCGAAGCAGGCTTATGGCATGAATACTCACCATTATGAATCGTCTGCAATGTTCCCTGTTCCCATGCACAGCGTGAGTTAACATAGGCCCGGCTTCAGCAAAGCACTCAGGCACATGCTTAACTCTAAGCAGGCGAACAAGCAAGAAAGAAGCATTGCCTGATGGACAGAACACAGGACTGAGCCGTAGGGCACCTGGGTTTTATTCCTGGCTCACTCACCCTGAGCTGGCCTAGCAAAACAAAGCCCTACAGTCAACTCAGTGGCCTTTCTCTGTTTGCCTGCCAGTGAGTAACGCAATAACTTTTGAATGCCACGGCCGATCAATTCTGAAAGTTCAGGGAGCATGCTAGGCATCAACGGGCAGAACCCTATTGAGTTTGGTGAACACTGGAAAACCCATTTCCGCTGCTGTTTACTCTCCTTGCAGAGAGATGTGTAACAGCCAGGGGGCAGATGTTCAGCCAGCAGGGGGAGTCAAAAAGAGGGGAGAGTAAAGGCAGCTTCATTCCTTTCTCCCTCCTTGAGGGGTAGGGGGAGGGAGAGAGAAAGTGAGAGGACCCCAGCTGTCCGTCCGTCCCTTCCAATCTGGAGGGATAGAAAGGTACTTTGGAGGGGGGAGAAAAAAGCAGACACCCAAAGCCCCTGGCATGGAGCAGGAATAATGGGGGACCCTGGCATGGGAGGGAGGGCAGAAGGGTGGTACACAGAACCCCAGGCATGGGGGAGAAGAGGAAATGGGGTGTCAAGGTTCCTCCCCCACTCTGAACTCTAGGGTACAGATGTGGGGACCTGCATGAAAAAACCCCCTAAGCTTATCTTTACCAGCTTAGGTCACCTTTAGCTTCTTAACCCTTTACAGGTGAGAGGAGCTTTCCCCTGGCCAGGAGGGATTTCAAAGGGGTTTACCCTTCCCTTTATTTTTATGACATGGGGGTACACAGAGCCCCAGGCATGGGGGTTGAATAGGGGCCCATGGTATGAGGGGCGGGGGAGAGGAAGTACACAAAGCCCTGGCATAGGGGGTTTAATGGAGGACCCTGGTCTGGGGGGGAAGGGGGCATGGGGGTACACAAAACTCCTAGCATGAGGGAGGTGGGGGTTGCAGGGACTCCCTAAAACAAAGAGGGTTGGGAAGGGGTACTCAGGGAGCTTGTGGGGGAGGAATGGAGGGATGCAAGGAGCCCCGGTGCGTGCACGGAGCTCGGCCGACAGAAGCAACAATGCCCGCATGACCCTCCTGTCTAGACAGACTACAAGCTCTTTGGGGCTGGGACTCCCTTTCAGCACAATGGAGCCCTGATCTTAGTCAGCGCCACTAGGGGCTACCATAACACACACGATTCATTTACATAATCAGGAGAGCTTTTCATTTTAAGCACGTTCCATGAACTTCGACGGGACTTAAGAATGTCCTTAAGGCCCAGATTTTTCAAGGTATTTAGAGGCGTCGCCATGCACAGCGTTGCAATGCCTAACTGATTTAGGAGCTTAAGTATCATTGCCAAAAGGGATTTAGACACTTAGAAGCCTCAATCCCGCCAATCATCCACCCTAAATTAGGCACCGCACCGCCGAGCGCGGCCGGCATGCTTTGCTGAACCCAGGCCTTAGTTGCCAGAATGTGTGCAAAATTGCAAAAACTCAAATGAGCGTGCACTGAAAAACCAGTTTGCAGCTTTGGTCCAGATCTGCTGAAGATATTCCCATTGCATTGGCCCCCCAAGGTCTGTCGCTAGATGGACCTGTGACAACTATTAAAATACACGAGAAGAGAAATCACTGCAGAAACTTAACCAAGAACCCAACCAGCCCAATAGCCAGTAAGAGAAGACCGGTAAATGGAGGGTGGCCCAAAAAGACCAGAAAAAATGAATTTTGTACATTCAGAGTTTATATTTTTAAAAGAAAATCAGATGGAAAATCTATACCGCTCAATGGCTGTGCGGTAGTAATCTCTCTACCACAAAAAGAACAGAACGCACGCACAGAGAGAGGCTTAATAACACTGAACTGTCATCGATTGCCATGGCCACCTCAGCTTGCTGGTCTGAAGAGAATAAATGCCCACCAAAGCACACCAAAGATCATTGAAAATGTCTGAATGGCTTTAATGGGAATCCAGTTACTTGAATGAAAAAAGTACCAGAGGAGAGTGGTGGGTTTTTTTTCCCCCTTTCTCCGTTTTTTTCAGAGTATTTTCTCCCCGTGTCTGTACATCTTGGCTCATCCCTGAGTCATCTTCACGATCTCCTCCCCCGCCGCCAAAGTCAAGGTCCCTAAATGGGAAAATTAAGCATAGAGAGACGGCCTCATTGGCAAGAGAAGGTAACATCAGCTGTCAGATGCTGAATCATTCCTGCACATAGGAAAATCACACGGGTAGGGCGTGGATTTCTGCCAAGGGCAACTCGTGGGAGGGGCACAAAGAGTCAAGTGACCCTCCCCAGGGTCCAGTGCCCCCAGCAGCCGGCCTGGGGGGGGAGAGGAGGAGTGGGAGAGGGGGCAGAGACAGAAGAGACAGGGACAGATCCTCTCCTGGGATGCTGCCCGGTGCAGTGCAGCAGCTGCCTGTGATAGCACCTGGCTGTGGCTGCAGCAGGCTGCCCCCCAGCCCCGGCTCAGCTTCTTGGGACAGTGGCCGAGCGAGCCGGAGCCCAGCCCCCGCCCCTCCGGTAGGCTCCGAGTTGGCTCCTGTCCCCAGAAGCTGAACCCGGGCAGATCAGGTCTCAGAGAGAACCCCCAAGCTAGCTCTGCATCTACCAAACACACGCTCACACCCATCCAGCTGGCGTACACACGGACATGTGCAGAGGAAGACCGCAGCTCAGTTAACCCAGATCATGCAATCAGTTTACCTCTTCTGCTTGGATTTAGACATTTTCTGTGTTCATGCTGAGAGCTTTCCATACAGTTGTCTTAGGCATTTCATCTGAGATGTTTATCTCTGCAGGATCGTCCCTGCAACAAATATTATAGGTGTTGATGGCCATGATCGCTATCAGCTCCATTCAAGCAAAGCACTTAAGCATGTGCTTATCTTTAAGCAGGTGAGCGTCTGAAGTCAACAAGATTGCCCACGTGGTTAAAGTGAAGCATGGGCTTAATGCCTTGCTGGATTATTGACTTTAGCAACCAACCCATACAAGTGCTGAGCATCTACTGGGGGCACCGGGAGTTGCGGGCTCCTAAACCACTGGTGGTGATAAAAACCCTTCTGGACATCATTCTAAATGGGCCGGTGTCAATATGCCAGGATTGCAGCCAGCTGTTCACTGAGAAAGCTTCTGTGCAAAATGTGCGGTCGAGAAAGCAAAAGCGTGTGGTCCGTGTGGCATACTGTTTGCTCACAGCTTCGTTGCCCACTTAGCTAACTTGGGAGTCCCCAACACAAAGGACAAATGGATTGCTTCTTTGGACTGCATTTGTCTGATAGTCCCAGCCTGGGTGCACCAGAGAGAGGGCTGGTCTTGACAGTGTTTGAAACTGCCTCTTAAAACGAGCACGAAGGAATGTCAGTAACACTCTGAAGAAGCAGAGTCTGGAGTTTTTACTCCCATGCAATGAGTTTCCAGTAAGATTAAAAGCAACAGAACAGCATCCAAGTGGTGAAGTGACTGCAACATCCTTTAAAGCAGAGGACCAGGGTGCAGGAGGCATGTCTTGGCTGCTGATGCTGCAAGTGCTGTTCATAACACCTAGGCTGACAGGGCCCAAGGGAGTAGTAGGTAGGATCCACAATAATATTACACCACGCTTTCCATCTGCAGATCTCACAGCACTTGACAAAAGGAGATAATCACCATTCCCCCATTTCCCAGATGGGGAATGGAATCAGTTGACCCAAGATCAACCAGCAGGCCAATGGCAGAGCCAGGCGTAGAATTCAGGCCTCCCACATCCCAGTTCAGTGCCCTACCCACAAGCTGCACTTCCTCACAAAATTTAAAGGTACCTTAGTTTTCACATCCACCACCAGGTCTTGGCTTCAATGGGTTTTCCCATGAGGAAGGGGTGAGAAACCTCACGTCACTTTCATTTCAGGACATGTCAGCCACTTGATTCTGCCTAACGGGGGTTGCCAACAAGGATCAATGGGAAGTCTGGCTCTTAAGACTCATGAAAAACCCCTTTCACACCCTTAATCGTTCTCCTTATGAATAGAGCTGGTCGGAAAAAAAGTCGGCAAAGCAGGTTTCTGTGGAAAATGCCGTTTCAGCAAACCTGAACTTTTTCGCAAAATCGTATAAATTTGCAGAGGAAAAAAAGGCAGGTTGGAAATGTTGAAATCTCCCATTTTGACATTTTCAGAACACAACGTTGCAATTTTCATTTCAAAAAATTACTTTTTGTTTTGAAATTGACTTTATTTTAGAAACGGTTTTAAAAATAAAAAGGGTCAACATTGAAACAAAATGTGTTGACTGATCCAACACTGTTCTTTTTAAAATTTCACTTCCCCAGTTTGGCATTTTGTCCCAATTAGGGCTGAAAAAAATGTGAAATCTTGAAATTTTCGTAAGATGGAAAATCTGTTTTCCAACCAACTCTATTTTATTAACACATCTGATCTCACAAGCGGTTATGAGGGAGGGGAGTGGAATCAGTTCGCGTTAGGAACAACACACCGCAGATGTCTGGAGATTTCTCTCTGCGCACTCGATCTGCCTGGGGAGTGCTAAGCCGTGTAACGGCCTTTGTATTTATTGGAATATGAAGGACATTAAATATGTGGCATTAGAAGAAAGTCAACTTTTCTTTCTTTTTTTTTTTTTTTGGATTATAATGACTAGGGCTTGGATGTTCAAAGTGCCCAAATCTCATTGAAATTCAACTCCCTTAGCCTGCTGTGAAAAGGCCAGCCTAGATCACGAATGCTTAGAAAAGCCTGGATTGACGGAAATACAGCACATCCATGAAGATACCAGTGGAGCAAAGAATGTGACAACAAAATATTCCTGCTGTGGGATTTCCTTAGTGAATTGTACCTGGTATTGTTATTTCGTCCTGGAACAGTCATATATTTTGTTTTCCCCAATGATAACTGCATTACATTTGCTTCAGCAGCTTCCATCATTTTCTGAGACTCCTGTTTTAAAAAAACCAAAACAAGTTCTCTCTCTGTTGGGAAAGAAATTAAGGGTCTCACTCGCTTAATTCTGCAGGCCAGAGTCCAGATGAAGTAGAACCGTGAGAGCAAAAGGTGTTGGATCTTCTGCTCCAGGCACAAGTGGGTTTTTTTGACCTTGCCTTCTCTGACATAAATAAAGAGCAACATGTAAATTAAAAAAAAACAACCCTACCCAAACAAAACACTCCACAGAACACACAGGATGAGAGAATGAACCACATGTGACCAGATGTTAGCCACATCACTTCATGCACGACTGGAAGGCATTGAGATACTACAGTGATATGTGTGATATAAGAACCCGTATAGTATAGTACAGTGATACTCAGACTGAGACTCAGGAGCCACAAGTGGCTCTTCAATGTGTCTCCCGTGGCTCTTTGCAGCACATGATATTAAAACACTGCATGATTTAACTATTATACAGTCTAAGTTATTCAGGAATCAGGGTCCTTTTGCTATGTTATTAACCAATTGTACTTGGTCAGTCATTTTGCTGATTATATATATATATATATATATTCACACTACTGTGGCTCTTCTGGGTAATGTAGATCATTAATTTGGTTCCTGAACCCCTTAGGTCTGGATATAACTGGTACAGTATATAGTATAGCATAGTTCTGGCCCACCTGGTGTGTTGTATAGCCCACAAAACATTTCAACTTCAATGCAACTGCATTTTCCAAAGGAAAACTGTTCCGTTGAAAATTACCAGCCCTAACCATCCTGCTTCCAAATACATTACATTGCTCTTTATTTTTGGTCCTCCAGACAGGTTTCAATCTATAAACAAAGGGTTTACTGGCAAGTAGAAGTGTTATGAGTTCATAGGCACTGTCTAGTCTGGGACACTCAATGGATATTACCTCTTCTTCCTTGGCTTTATTTTTGGCATCATCCAGTTTTTTCTTCTTGCTTTCTGGCATGAGATCATCGAGCCAGCTGAGCTCCCGCTTCGAGAAACAGAAATCCATGACTTGCCGGACAAAGACCAGAGCCAAGACCTACATCGATACAGATGAACAGCTAATCAGTTCAAGCCAATTTTCATATTAGAGTTCACCAGTGAAGTCCATTTGGGAATAAATGGGTCAAATGGACCAAGTCAATGATGGTTTTACTCAATTTTCAGATTCAGAACATCTTTTGTTTTCAGGTATGCCTCAATCAACATTCTAAAACTTTCTGAAAACACAGTGGGCCTGATCCTCATGTACGGTGAGGCCCCTTAACAGTGCTCAGGTGATGCACAGGGGCCTTGACTTCATTAAGAAAAGGTGTGTTTTTAAAACGTGATAAAATCCTAGTGTAGACAAGGCAAACTATCATTTTAGCAGGCATTAGCTGGTCGAGTTCAAGCCTGGACTCCGGCTCTGGGTTGTCCTCAATCAGCTAACTACAACTGCCTCGTCTACACAGGGATTTTGACATGGTTAGTTCACATGTGTTAAAAATACATCTTTTTCCTAGTTTGGACATGGCCCCAGAAGCAGGCCCAATCCCTGTCCAGTTAACCTAGCAAGCTTAACAAAAATGCTGCCCCGGCTCATTCCGAATGGCAGGCTTCAATGAGACTGCTCATATGAGTAAGGGATATAGACAAGGCCTTTAGGGATCTCTTCTCGTTTGCACCATGCAAAAGAGCCTGAATAGGGAATTATATTGAAACTCATTTTACTTTGGCATTGGAGGCCGTAGGGGAAATGAGACTCAGTAAGACCCTTACTAATTCTTGAACAAAACCACTAATCACACCCTAAAGCAGATGGCTGGTGTCTATCGATACAAACCATCCAGCTAGTAAAGAGCAAGAGCTTTACCATCATGGGAAAGACAATGGCAGCAGGAGAAGCTTTGATGGCCCAGAGTAAAACGAGGCACGTCAGCTGGATCACGGTGAAGAGATGTACTTTTCGCAAGGGGACGTGCCGTAAGTAGATAAAGTCGGGCTGGTGTTTTGCTGGCATTCCAAACAGCTTCAGGCGATCAAAGAACTGAAAAGACCATATACAGAAGAAGTTCTGATTGCACAGGATTTCAAATGCTGGCCGAGATTTGCATTTAGTAGTTTAAGTTATTAACAGGAAGAGAAATAAAAGAGTCTCCTTTAAAATAACAATCTAGTGGGATGTTGAAAATTACCATATGCAAACCGGCGTGAGTCTTTGTCCTCCCCCCAGTGGCTAGATCATGTGTAGAGATTTGTGATTCTACTACTGCCTGTAAGCTAATGGACCAGGTCCTTTAGCTCAAGGAGTAATAACACCACCATATAACTCTTATACAACACTTTCCAACAGTAGATTTCAGAACACTTTACAAATGGGGAAACGGAAGCACAGGGTGGGCAATGACTTGCCTAACATCATCCAGAAGGCCAGCGCCGGGAATAGAACCTAGGTCTTGGGAATCCTAATTCAGTGCACCATCCATTGCCATGCTATCTAGCACACAGCCTTGCGCTACAAAATTACACACCTGAATCCCTCCGAGTGAAGAAACGCCCATATAAAGGAACACACCATAAAGCACAGGCATCGGGATAAACTGCAAAGAGAACGTAAGTATTAAAGATAAACCTGTATACAATAAATAATAGCCATATAAGGCTCGCCTATCATTAAGGCTGACATTTTTCATGCTTCAGCTCTGTATCAGAATGACTTTTGGGGGGAAAGTTACATCAAAAACGGTTTGGTCGTTTCCGAGAACGAGGTTAGAGGAAAGTAGGTCATTTTGCCAGTGTTCAAATGTACTTATCTCAATGCTGCTGCATTCTGTGACAGTAAAGAAAAGCCATCCCCCTAGTTCACTGTGACTACATATAAGACTAGCATGCTTCATCTCAGCCCACAGGTGACGTTTTGGGGTGAAAACTTGTAAGACAGTCTGTGCAGCCGCTATTGAATGGTTAGCCTTTACGAAAGCAGTGCATGCTGGGAATCACAGTCAATTGTAACTGGAAGACCAGCAGCTGGATGCGGTACTGGTCTAAATAAGCTTGATTTCATCCAGTTTTAAAAGCTAAGAAGGGATGAGCCTGGCCCTGGCTGGAAGAAAACAGGAGTTTATGGCACATGCTCATGTGCTCCAGGGTGATGGCCTAGATGTGACCCGAGTCCAGACTCTGCCTCCATGTCTCCCTTCAGTTTTAAATCAGTTCCACAGACGGAAATCCATCCAGGCAGGCTTTCCCCCTCCTCAGCACTCTGGGTCTTACGGCTTGCACACGCCTCCCCATCATCGACACATGCGAATGGTAGAGCTCCTGTGTGCAGAACCCACAGCCAGGCACATGGGGCTTTTGCATGTTAATTCACATGCACATGTGGTGTGGGCATGAAAAACACATGCACGGAAATATACACGCACAGAGGGCTCATTTTGACAATCTGGCTGTAGGGGTCTGCCACTTTATCCATTAACCCTCTTTAAGGGCATGTCCTCACCGCATAAAACTGTGTGTTCTTAACTCAGGTTAGCTCAGTCACGTGAAAATAGCAGGGAAGACACAGCAACTTGGATTTTAACTCAGGTTAGCAGCTCAAGATAAAGTCCATGGGGAGACTGAGGTTGAACACAAGTTGCTAACGTGAATTAACGGCTGAGTAGACATGTCTTCACTGCTGTTTTAACCAGGGTTAGCTAACCTGAATTAAGAACATACCTTTTTTTTTCAGTGAAGAGATACTCTAAGACGGAAGCCAGTTCGGAGGAAGCGAGTACAGCGAGCTGCCACCTCTTATGGTAATGCCCTTTGTAATATTTCTTGTCACATTATCCGTGGAAATAGGAACATGGGAGTTGCCAGACTGGATCAGACCTGAGGTCCATCTAATCAGTACCAGATGCACCAGAGGAAGTGCAAGAAACCAGCAATAGGCAAAAGTGGGATAATCTGCCCTCCCATGAAGTCTCACCTTAATACTGAATAGTTAGAGATTGGCTTAAACCCTGCAGCACAAGAGTCTCTGTCTCTTTTTTTCCCTTGCATTATCTGTTATAACTATGGATATTATTGTTATCCACATAAATGTCCAATCCCTCTTTGAATCTTAATAAGTTCTTGGCCTCGGGGACATCATGTGGCAGTGAGTTCCACAGTACAATCACAAACACAATATTTCTCCATATATTTATTGTCCCGATGAACTTTGGGTACTTTGTGTCCTGTTACCTTTAACACAGCAGTCATGAAGACGGAACAGCCCATAAGCACAAAGATCATGAGGCCAGTGACTCTTTGCTCTCGTATCCCGAGAAATTTCGGTTGTTCTCCCGGAGCTGAGCAGCCAGACTCTAATTTAAGGCTGTTCACATGGGTGATGGATAGAACAGTTGCAGCAACAAACCAGGGCAGCCCCATCACGGAGCACACACCAAGCATTATTGCTACCATCAGAAGGTCCAAGTGGTAGCCACATCCTTTCTGCAAGAAAACAGAATCCAGTGAGACAAGACACAAGCTTTATCCAAGGGGATGATCTTTGAAAACAGACTCATGGGTTGAAATCCTGGTTCACATTAATGGCAGTTTTGCCATTGACTTCAATAGAGCCAGGATTTCACCCACAGATATTAAGGCCAGAAGTGATTGTTATGATTAGCTAGTCTAATCATAACAAAGGCCATTCACAGAATTTCACTCAGTTATTCCATATCTTGAGGTTGAGCTGGAGCACATATTTCAGAAACACAAACTAAACCTTGATGTACGATGCACAAGTTATGTTTTTTAATTAAATGCCATGTAACGATCTGAAAAACACCAATATTACTACAAGAAATAAAGAAGCGCTGAGTTATTTGTGTTCATAAGAATCCTTTCAGAAACAGAGAATTCATCATTTTTATCCAGAAACATTCCAGCAGGAAGATTTTCTGCTTTAATAAAGCACCTTGGAAAACTAACATCCTTCATGTCTATAATTGTCCAGTCATGTAGAAATTAACTTTGAAGTAGAGTTTGGTGGCGAAACATTTTAATTCCTTTTCTTGTAAAAAAATCGATAAAAATGAAAAACTCAAGTTTGTTGACATTTTTCTTGAAAAACTGTCCAAAAAAATCTCTTTAGCTTTTGGAAACTGAAAACCAACCAAAAAAAATTAGCTTTTTTAAATATGAAAACCTGGAAATTATCAACATAACCAGATTTTTCTGGCAGAAATTTCCATTTAATCAGAAAGCTATTTTTCATCAGAAAAATTTCGACTGGTTTTATTTTTAAGTAACTAAGAGGAAGTCATAATATGAGTTACTTTGTGGTGTGTCAGACGAATTAATTACCGTCAGAGATAGTAATACAAACCTCTCCTCGATATTTTAGTTTTAGGCTAATTTACCTGTTAGGAAGATTACCTGCCGAATTCTCTGTTGCTCTGCTCCTTGTGTAGTCATTTAGGGCCTAATCCAGGAAAGCATCTTTATTTAGGACAGCAATTAAGCAACTGCTTAAAGTTAAGCATGTGCTTAAGTCAGGGCCTTGCAAAGTGAGTGCAAAGCTGATGTAAACTGCTACCATTCCGATGTGGAAGCATGTCACGCTCACTTTGCACAGCAGTAAATGACACAAGGTTCAGAGTAATGGAGAATCAGGTCTCTTCATCCACTCCTCAAACACTGTTACCTTGAGTTTATGCTCCTTTCTGTTTATGATAACAGCAGTGATTTGCTGGTCCATGAATATCAAGATGGTGCAGAGAAGAGCTGGGATGAGAGCTGCTAACACCGTCCACCAGGGATTGGGTCCTATCGGGCTAATAATCCACCCACGGTCATCTCTTGTCGGCTACAGCAAAATACACACAGCATAATAAAAGCCATTTATTGAAGCAACTGTACCATCCATTCTCAGTCATTTTTCTATCTATGTACTTATCCAGCTCCCAGCTCCAGAGTACCTAAGGGCCTCACAGTCTTGAATGTATTTATCCCCACAATACCCCTGCAAGTTAGGGCAGTGCTATTGTCCCCATCTTACAGATGGGGAACATGTTACTAAAGAGAACATTTTCAAAAGCTTCTAAAGGATTTAGGAGCCTATGGCCCATTTTTTTCAAAGTAATTTATGCAAAGTAATTTAGCCCATTGATTTAGGCTCCTAAGGCCCAGATCCTCGAAGGTATGCCTTACTCTCATTGATTTCAATGGCAGTTAAGTGACTAAATATCTTTAAGGATCTAGGCCTAAGTGCCTAAGTCACCTCTAAAAACAGAACATCCCCAAGCCACTGGAGTGCTTTTGAAAATTCCACCATGAGAGTTGAAGAGGCTTTCCAAGGTCACCCAGGGATTCAGTGACCATATCAGGACAGAGCTCAGATCTCCTAAGTCCCACTCCTCCCTGATCCAACCACTAGATCCCACCGCTAGGAACTGTACCCAGGAATCCTGTCTCTCAGTTGCCCCTGCTTTAATCACTAATCCATACACCCCATCCAGAAACGGGAATAGAACCCAGGAGTCCTGAGTTCTAGTCTGCCATCCTCCATCCACTAAACCTTGCTGCCTTTCACAACATACAGCTCATTTTAAAATGTCATTACAAATGTGGATTGTTCAGTGAAACCAAATCTATTACACCATTTGATTACCTTGAAGACACTGGGCACTTGTAGCTTTGGTGATGGGACTCCAATTAACAAATCAAAAGTCACCATAGTGACGATAGTTAAGAAAACAGCAAAGTCACTTATCATGGCTCGTACCTGGTATGAGAAATTAAAGAAGCAGTTGGCATTAGTAAGGCTGCGAGTTTGTCATGGAGGTCACGGAAATCACGGATTCCGTGACTTTCTTGAACCTCCGTGACTTCTGCAGAGGCCGGTGCAGCTGGCCTAGGCTGGCTGCTGCTGGGGCAGTCTCAGACAACCCCCCACCCCAGCAGCAGCAGGTGTTTGGGTGCATGTGGGAGGGGACTAAGGGTTGGGGCAGGGGAGGGGGTAAGGGCTCTGGGTAGCACTTACCTTGGGGGGCTCTTCAGAAGTGGCGACATGTCCCTCCCTCAGCTCCTAGCTCCACGTGCCACCTCTGCCCGCAGGCACCGCCCCCGCAGCTCCCATTGGCTGTGGTGCCTGGCCAATGGGAGCTGCGGAGCCGGCGCTAGGGGCAGCACGTAGAGCTAGGAACTGAGGGAAGGACATGTCACCACTTCCGGGGAGCTGCGAGGAGCTGGGTAGGGAGCCTGCCAGCCCCGCCAACCCCCGCCCAGCTCCAGTGGGGGTCCCGGGCTGCTGTCCCCTGAGCACCCGCAGTGCCCCCCGGACCACCCGCCCAGGCACCTGCAGCACCCCCAGGACACACCCCCATGACCACCCGCAGCACCCGCCAGGCCGCCCTCCCACGAGCACCCGCAGTGCCCCTGGGCCATCCCCCACTAAGATTGTCAGCAGTATACAGTACACGTCATGGACAGGTCACGGGCCGTGAATTTTTGTTTACTGCCCGTGATCTGTTCATGACTTTTACTAAAAATACCCATGACTAAAATGTAGCCTTAGGCATTAGTAAACTGTCAAAACAAAGCAACAGACAGTACAGTCAAAGGCAAATGATCTTCCCATTGAAATTCTTTCCCTTTTTATTGTTAAACGTAATGTTAATTTTTAGCAAACACCCAGATTCAAGCATACTTTTTAATACATGATTCTACCATTCAGAATTGTTTTTAAATCCCCAGATTCTTCCCTTTAGGAACATATCAATACCCACAGTCAATTCCAATAGTCCTATTACTTTATCCATATTACTGCAGTCTCAATTTAGCAATATTGGTGTTAGTCCAAATTCTTCAGATGCCTTGGAGTGCATGCAATGAGGTTTGTGGGCACTGGCTAGATCTCACTGGACAAGGATCATTCTAAATATATCACATATATACCCTGATGTGCCAGAATCATGCCATGACATCTGCTTCAATACATGGAGAATTTGGTGATATTTCCACTACAGCTGTTTGAAAAACGTTTTTTTTCTCCCCCAGGAAAAATGTTGATTGTCAGACAAAATATTTCAGGCAAAACCCAAAATATTTCCATTTGGAAATGCTACCATGATGCTGCATGGGAGATGTAGTCCAAGTGCCTCAAGCTCTCATTCTCCTCTATAGTCTGGGCTCCCAGCTCAAACTACATCTCCCAGGATGCACTCTGATCATCCCTCTTGTAAGGGGAGGCAGTGTAGCACAGGAGTCCCTGGCCATGGTGCATCATGGGTGATGTAGTCTACCTGGGAAACCCAGACCATAGTGGAGGATCGGGACATGAGATCAATGAACTATAGTTCTCATGAGGGACCACGGCAAAATTTATGACCAGTCCTAATTTTCTCACAGCCTTGGAATTTATATCAATATACACTAACGAGAGCTACCATGAAATACTGGTCTTTCAGGAAAGAGAGGGGTGGCAGTTAGCCACCATCTTCTACCTACTCTTGTCGGGAAATAGTGGCTGGTTTTAAACATCTTCAGTGCGCCAGACATGATGAAGGTGGTGAAGAAGAGAATGCAAGACCAGAAGAGGACATCTGGTGTGTAGGGGCCATGGTGCCCACAGGCAGGTCCAGTAAATTCACCACGCATTTTCCGACATTCCTGGAGAAACAAGTAATCAAGACACCACCATAAACACACACAATGCCCATGATACACCACAAATGTCATGTGACATCTCAATAAACGGGCTCTTTAAAGGCCTTAGTATCTGCATAGTCTAAAGACAGCATTCAGAACTAAATCCTGCAATTCTTACATAGGCCAAACTCCCACTGACTATGATGTGCCTTTGGCTGACAGCATGTAGCTTTAATATGCATTAGGTAGCAACATGTAGGAATGATCAGAAGGGCTGTAATGATTTATGGATATTAACACCCTCTTGTTACAAGTGTTGGCCGCTAACTTTTTTCATTCAGAGATTTGAAGCCTTGAAGGGAGAGTTAGATCATCTAGTAAGACCTCTGATCCCCTAACTCTGAACTTGACGGGAGTAAACTATTATTTACTTAAAGTCTCCATCCTGCAAACACTAACAGATGAGAGTCATCTCTTGGGGTCACGTTTTCAAAAGCGTTCATCGCTCTACGGTTCCTGTCATGACACGTAGGGCCAGATTTTCAAAACAGCTCAGCACCCAATCTGCTGACTAGAGCTGGTCAGAAAATGGATTTTCTGTCCCTGTGAAATATTTTGGAATGTTGAGAAAAAAGGAAAAAAAAAAAAAGGTTCCAAACCATGACAAAAAGCCAAAAATTTTAAAATTTTTCGCAAAATGAGATTCTTAAAAAAAATTATTTTGTGGGGGTCATTCGAAACGTTCAATAAATCTGAAAGGTTTTGTTTCGATTCTGAGCACTTTTAAAAATGTATTTTTATTTTTTATACAAAATAAAGTAGGTTTCAAAATGAAAAATAAATTTGAAACAAACAAAAATAAAAACTTTTGTTCCAAATATATCAAACCGGGGACATGTCAATATGTTCTGTTTTTTTCCTTTACTTTTTTTCGAAGTGAAATTTTACTGCAAATATAATTTCACAGAAAATGTAAGTTGCATCAAAGTAGAATTTTCAGATAGAAACCTGTTTGGACAAAATTTTTGGGACCAGCTGTAGTGTCCACCTCTTTTGACAATCTCTTCCTAATCATTGGCATGCTTATGCCTTAAGTCACTTATTAACCTTGGGTAACCAAGAACTCATCTAGCATGACATCCGATGAAGTGAGCTGTAGCTCACGAAAGCTTATGCTCTAATAAATTTGTAGGTGCCACAAGTACTCCTGTTCTTTTCACCTGAATCGTTGCACTAATGACCTAATTTGTGCAAACAGTGCTGTTTACTAATGGAAAAACAGTAATGGAAATGTAATGGAAAAACAGCTGAGAGCATTACAGTCCTGCCAAAGTGCATGTGATCTTAATAGAGTGGAAACGACACCGGCTTTATTTAAAAACTACCCCCTCAAAAAAAAATGCAATAATGTTTTACATCACAAATTGCTAGCAGAATATGGGCTATATTGGGGTCGCCCTGTAGCGTGCGCTAGAGTGCTGAAAGGGCAGAGAGAGCTCACGCACAAAGCGGCTGCAATCTGTCACCTAATGGGTCAAGGAAATTGGGGGGAGGCAAAGAGACACAACATTGCTCCAGGTCTCACAGGAAGCTAGCTAGGAATCGTCCCCTGCTAGCAGCAGCAGGCTACCGAGCCAACACGAGAGGAAACGCAGGCTATGTAGCTACAGAACAGGTGCAGTCCCTGCTGCTCCTGAGCATGGGGCACTGTTGCCAAGTCTTATGATGTTATTGCAAGTCTTGTGATTTTTTTTTGCTCATGGTTTTTCAGGGGACTGGACTCATGAGGCATTATGCCTGCCCAGGGCAGTCATACTCTTCAGATTTGCTTGCTCAGGCAGGGCTCCTCCAACCTCCCGTCTCAGCTCTGACCGGGCTCACAGAGTCAAATCCTCATAGGTGCGGGCTTAGACATTACCAGTAAAATACATTTAAACTGGCAGCTACCAATGGAGATGCCTACTCGCTGCACAATGGCCATCGAACAAGCATGGGGTAAGTTAGGGTGCAGTAAGGAGGGAATAGGCAGCAGGTTTAAAACAAACAAAAGGAAGTATTACTTTACACAACGCACAGTCAACCTGTGGAACTCACTGCCAGGGGATGTTGTGTTGTGAATGTTGTGTTGCCATCATGTCTAACAAGACTAATCAATTGAGGTGGGCTAGTATCAGCAGGAGAAAAAAATCTTTTGTAGTGATAATCAGGATGGCCCATTTCAAACAGTTGACAAGAAGGTTAATTGATTAGTCTCATTACAGTTGGTAATGGCAACACCCATTTGTTCACGTTCTCTGTATATGTATATATATATATATATCTTCCTACTGTATTTTCCACTGCATGCATCCGATGAAGTGGGTTTTAGCCCACGAAAGCTTATGCCCAAATAAATGTTAGTCTCTAAGGTACCACAAGGACTCCTCATTCTTTTTGCTGATACAGACTAACACGGTTACCACTCTGAAACCTCTCACAGAAAAAGGAAGAATTCAGGACAGGCGAGAGAGGGATGGAAAGGAGGGTTAAGTCAATGATAATGATGGAAGGAGAAGTGAGTTCTCATGGAAAAACCCAAATGAAGTGATCAGAAGATTTTGGGAAAAGACCTCTATGTTCCACACAGGGTCCCCGATTCCAATAAAGGACTTAAACACACACCTAGTTTTAAACAGTTCCCCATCTCACATGCTTAAAGAAAGCGATATGCTTAAGCACATTACTGAATCCGAGTCCCGGGCTTGGAGTAATGAGGCCCCAAATCAGGAAAGCACTTGTGCACGTTCTTAACTTTAAGCGTGCGCTTATGCCCCATTGACTTCAATAAGACATAAGTGTGGACTTAGTGCCGAGCACAGGATTGCTTTCCTGAACAGAGATGCTTTCCTAAATCAAGGGCATAGGCAGGCTTCTTTAACTGCTTGGGTCTTCGCGGATGATCACCTCCCCTGGCCAAGAGAATGCTGGTCCCAAGCATTTAAACTCGAGCTGGTCAGGAAATTTCTGACAAAAAGTTTTTCCATCAGAAAATGCCAACTATAACTTTTGGTAGGAAGGGGTTAGTTTTGGCAACATTTTCACAGAACCTGGATGGAATGTCAGGGGAGTGGCCCCTGAATAGCCAATGGCCTGGGGACTAGGGCACTCAGCTGGGTGATAGACAGAGCAAGGACTTGAAACTCCCGCATGCTAGGTAAGCATCCTATCCACCAGGCTAGACTCAGTCTCCCTCTGCCCCACTATTTTCTGGCAGAAGGTTTTATTTATACAAAGTGCAGCAGCCCCAACTGAGATTCTGACTATATATTCCAGCTGTTATGACACTCACCTGGAGACCCAGGTTCATCTCTCCTCCATAACAGGTAGAACAGGTCTCCCCTAGGCCAGGTGAGCACTGTAACCACCAAGCTATTGCGGAGCAGCCCTTAGGCTCGCTTGCTCTCTCTCTCTCTCGTATTCACAGGAAACGGTGGAAGGTTTCCGTTTCATTGCGGTGAAAACAAATGCTGAAACCTTGACATTTTTTTGCAAAAGAGAATTCCTGTTTTCCAGCCAGCCCTAATTTTAAACTCACAAGAATCTGAACTGCATTATTTCTATTACAGTAGTTCTAGTCCGGTTTGAGGCCTGGGGTAACTTAGGGAACATAAGTAACAATCAGCAGCATGAAAAGGCAGAGCTAACATTAGCGGGAGTGTGACATGATGGTTATTTGGACCTTGACACCCTTCTGCTCCCTTCTGATCTGTATACGGTGACCATACTGCAAGTGTGAAAAACTGGGACAGAGGGCAATAGGCACCTATAGAAGACAAAGCCCCAAATATCAGCATTGTCCCTATAAAATCGGGATATCTGGTCACCCTAGATCTGTAATATGCCACAGATAAGAGCACAAAGGCCCAAGCACTTACACTGACAGTGAGGTTTGCCCACTCAATCGCAGAAGGGACAATCTTCCTGTCGCTCCAGAACTGTAGGGTTTGATTGCTGGGATTGTCAGGAGCAGCACATTTACAGCTAAGAGCAAAGAAAACATATTAGGGTTAAAGTATCAAAAGAGGGGAACTCCTCAGCAATAACAGAACCTCGTTGCATAATAATTATACTTCGCTTTTAATTTTGGGGGAAGATATGCTGTATTCTTAGGTTTAAGCTCAAAAACAAAAAGGTTTAAGAGCAAAACTGAGCTCAGCCTCCATTACAGAGGCACAACCAGCACCTCCAAAGCGAAATATGTACCATTATCCACGCTGTGCAGATGGGGAAACTGAGGCAGAGAGCGGGGAAGGGGCTTGTTCAAGGGCTCCTGAACGCTAATGTGATGCCAATTTTTAAAAAGGGCTCTAGAGGTGACCCCAGCAACTACAGGCCAGTAAGCCTGACTTCAGTACCGGGCAAACTGGTTGAAACTACAGTAAAGTACAAAATTGTCAGACACATAGATGAACATAATTTGTTGGGGAATAGACAACATGGTTTTTGTAAAGGGAAATCATGCCTCACCAATCTACTAGAATTATTTGAGGGGGTCAATAAGCATGTGGACAAGGGGGAATCCAGTGGATATAGTGCATTTAGATTTTCAGAAAGCCTTTGACAAGGTCCCTCACCAAAGGCTCTTAAGCAAAGTAAGCAGTCATGGGATAAGAGGGAAGGTCCTCTCATAGATTGGTAACCAGTTAAAAGACAGGAAACAAAGGGTAGGAATAACCAGTTTTCAGAATGAAGAGAGGTAAATAGTGGTGTCCCTCAGGGGTCTGTACTGGACCCAGTCCTATGCAACATATTCATAAATGATCTGGGAAAAGGGGTAAACAGTGAGGTGGCAAAATTTGCAGATGATACAAAAGTACTCAAGACAGTTAAGTTCTAGGCAGACTGCAAAGAGCTACAAAAGGATCTCTCAGACCTGGGTGACTGGGCAACAAAATAGCAGATGAAATTCAGTGTTGATAAGTGCAAAGTAATGCACATTGGAAAACGTAATCCCAACTGTACATATGAAATGATGGGGTCTGTAGCAGGGTGATCACCCACTCCGGGCCTGAAAGGGTTACAGCCAGCCCTGGGAGAGGGTTGGTGCTGCGAGCCAAAGGCTAGGCTGATGGGGAAGGCAGCCACAGCTGGGGCCACACCCCAATCAGGCCACAGCTGACCTTATAAAAGACTATGAGCCAGGAGCTCAAATAGTCTCTCTCTAGCTGTGAAGAGAGAGGGGCCTGACTGCTTGGGAGCTCACCAGGGTGCCCAGAGTGAAGCAGGGCTGGGGAAAGGCCAGAGGAGCTAGGGAGCTCCAGGCTGGAAAACCCCCAGCCTGCAGGCCTTGCTGAAGGCCTAAAGCAGGTACTGGGGTTGCAGAGGGGCAGCCCAAGGTTAGGTAAAGGCAGCAGATCCAAACCCTCCTTGCCAATGATGAGTAGTGCAGACTGCAGTCTGCCCCAGTGTGCGGGGGGCTAGATGAGGACTGGCAGTAGCCGCTGAGGCAAGGTGGGATAGAGGATGGGGATTCCCTGGAGAGGGGAGACCCAGACTGTGGGGGTACTACAGGGGGCAGAACCCTGATGTAGAGGGGCACTGGATCTCGGAGGGACATGAGGGCCTGAAGCAAGCGGGACACTGGCCTGCAGAGGCGCTCCAGAGGCTGGAGAGAGAATTCCCAGGATGACCAGCGGGAGGCGCTGCACTGGTGAGTTGTGCCTTGCTACAGGGTCTAAATTAGCTGTTACCACTCAGGAAAGAGATTGTGGAGTCATTGTGGATAGTTCTCTGAAAATACCCACTCAATGTGCAGCAGCAGCCAAAAAAGCAAACAGACTGTTGGGAATCATTAAGAAAAGGATAGATAAGAAGACAAAAAATATCTCATTGCCTCTATATAAATCTGTGGTATGCCATAATCTTGAATACTGAGTGCAGATGTGGTCACCCCATCTCAAAAGAGATATATTGGAAAAAGGTTCAGAAAAGGACAACAAAAATTATTATGGGTATGGAACAGCTTCTGTATGAGGAGAGATTAATAAAACTGGAACTTTTCAGCTTGGAAAAGAGATGACTAAGGGGGGATATGATAGAGGTCTATAAAATCATGACTGGTGTGGAGAAAGTAAATAAGGAAGTGTTGTTGTTTACTCCTTCTCATAACACAAGAACTAGGGGCCACAACATGAAATTTATAGGCAGCAGGTTTAAAACAAAAATGTATTTTTTTTCACACACAGTACAGTCAACCTGTGGAACTCCTTGCCAGAGGATGTTGTGAAGGCCAAGACTATATAACAGGGTTCAAAAAAGAACTAGATAAATTCATGGAGGATAGGTCCATCAATGGCTATTAGCCAGGATGGGCAGGGATGGTGTCCCTAGCCTCTGTTTGCCAGAAGCTGGGAATGGGTGACAGGGGATGGATCACTTGATGATTCCCTGTTCTGTTCATTCCCTCTGGGGCACCTGGCATTGGCCACTGTTGGAAGACAGGATACTGGGCTAGATGGACCTTTGGTCTCACCCAATATGGCTTTGTTCTTATCCATGGACTAGTGCCGGTCCCCGAGATCCCCCTGACAGAGCTTAGGAAGGCAACAAGCTGGTCTCTGTTATCAAAAAAGGGTGAGAAACGCTGCGCTAGATCATCTTCATCTAATCACATGTTTAAACCCTTCTTATTCAGCAAGGTGCTGCAATCCTTCTGAAGTCAATGGGAATTAAACGTGTGCTTAAATGCTTTGTTAAACAGGGTTGAGCTTAAGCACATACTTTGCTGAATCAGCATCTTACTGTCCTGTTTGAGAGTAGCTTTAGAAAAGGAGGGGGGGAAAACCCACAAGATGAACTTACTAGTAGAAGGTAAGGTGGTCGAGCTGGCTGTGCATGTGGACGGGGTAGGTTGCCCCTAGCTTAATCAGTTTCTCTAGAGCTTCGTAGATGAAAATGATACAGATCAGAGAAGCAAACGCTTCTTCAGTAAAGCGAGTGATGTAGCGTACTAGGGAGCTGGAGTCTGTTGCCACAAGGATGATGCACAGGAAAGCAGTCCACAATCCAATACTGGTTCTCAGGGAAAGGTAGGAGAGTGCGTAGTCTCTGCAAAAAGGAGCCAGGGACATGTGCCAAACGTCAGAATAAGCAAACAGGTGCACAGTTTTCAGTGAATGGCACAGGACATTTTATTCACACTAACACTCTTATGAGGACCAATTTAGTACATCATAGCTCTCCAGGCCAACTACCACCAGTCAAGGGTGTAGACCAGGCAGAGAAGAGCTCAAATCTATTATTATTTATTAATCAACCTAGCAACAGCCCAATTAAGCCAGGCACTGTACACTTCTATATTAAAATTTCAGTCCTTGCCCTTAAGAGCTCACAGTCTTCAAACACACACAGGCATAACATTAAGAATGTACAGTCCTTAAATTCAATGGAACTAGTTACTATGGCTGGTAGGAAATTTTCCATCCAAAAAAATTTCCATTGAAAGAAAAGTGAATTTCCAATGAAATTTTTTTTAAAGTGTCTGCTTTCTGCAGAAAATTTGAGTTTTTGTCAAAAAACTGAATGCTTGGAAACGAAAATATTTCAGCCAAAAATGAAAGATTTCACTTTTTGGACAATTTTTCAGTATTCAGCTTTCTACCCAACAATCAATATTCTCTATGGGGGAACCACTTTTCCATCAGCTCTATTAGTTAAATGCTTGAAGTTAAGCATGTGCATAAGTGTTTCCAGGATCCAGACCTAAAAGACAAGACATATGAAGTGGATGAGACAAAGAAGCATTTGGGGATGGGGGCTAGGAACTTGAGAATGTGCGTAACTTTAAGCATATGAGCGACCCATTCACGGCTCATGAAAGTAAGCGTATTGTTTTCTGTTCCAATTTTGATTAAATCTATTCAAACTATTCCAGTCTTACACCACCACTCACAAAAGCAGCACCGTTTTCTTTGCAAGGAGGAAATAAAACTGTATTTTACACCCTGTTATTCTTTTAATCTGCCACCTGGGTCAATTCTGTACATTCTAAAGAGCACACGCCTTACTTGCAGAACTTGAACAAAATCTTTTCAAACACCAACACCGGTCCGGTACTTCCTAAGATAGTGAGGGGTTGTCCAGCGAACAGAGAGTACACAACTCCAGTCATCGAGGCGCCAAATAAGGATTCTATTGCACTCTGAAGTTAAAAACAAACAAACAGATAAATATTCCTCCATCTTTAAGTTTTACACACATTGGGTCTGAATCTCATTTACACTTAATCCACTTGACACTGCTCTGTCAGTGCATAAGGGTGGGCGTAAACTCTAGTCACACCATTTTAAGCTGAGTATACGCTTCCAGAGCGCTGTACGTGGCCTTAGTGGAGAATCCAAGTGATTATTTTCAAAAGAGACTAACACCTGAACAGATTTTTAATGGGAATCCGGCACCCAAATCCCTTAGTTGGTTTGAAAATCTCAATTTGCGTCTCTTTGCTTGGATTTTACATTTCTAAATAGCAATATGTATATGGATGTAGTACTAAGGGACTTTACTCAGCGACCGAGGAGGTCCTTCCCTGTTCTATATTCCTTTTGATGGAACGAAATACACTGCCTCAGTTTTCCCATCTGTACAATGGAGATAATGATAATGCCCTCTTTGTAAAGTGCTTTGAGGGCTACTGATGAAAAGTGCCAGATAAGAGCTAGGGATGAGTATTGTTTATGGATTGCAGTGTATTGGATTTAGTGAATAAAATCTGGAAATGCCTCTTCCTTCCTTAAGATTTTATACAATTTGGGGGGTTGTGGACTCTATCCCATGACTGCAAAATGCAGGGCCAATCAGAGGGGGCCCAGGAGGGCCATTTGGCGGGGGCCTCAAATTTAGACTCTTTTTAATTTTTTGGCATTTGATAAGTTTCACAACTTTTTTTTCTGCGCATCCCTATCAGACCAGAATGTGACATGCTCTCTCAGCTTAGAGCTGCAAATTTAAGGAAATAAGAGATGTGATTTGGTAAAAGACCTAATTTTTTTTTATTAACTGATATAGATTTTGTCATATTAAAGAGTTTAAAATGTTCATAAATATTAATAAAAATATATTGCACAAGATTAGACCACGTGTCGTCATTTTTTATTTTTATTATGGCTAGGGGCCTCAAAAGCTGGAAGTGGCCTGGGCCTCTCTGGACCTCTGAGAGGGCCTGCATACAAAAGAACACATGCATAGTGCTGAATGAAAGTGGCGTGGGCTCATGGCACATTCTTGCAAACCTTTACATAAATACACAACCTGTGGGGGTGCGGGGAGATAGTAACAGCAGCAAAGACAAGACGAGGAGTTGTATGGTCTAATGCGGCGCAATGGGAAACCAAATTACGAAAGACATTGGACTCGTGCCCACGGCGGCTAGCCCCTGCTGCCCCTCCTATTACAACAGCTACACTTAGTTTTTAGCACACTAGCTCAATCGGAGCTGGCACAGATCGGCCTCCTCCAGCTAAAATCTACACCTCCAGCTCCAAATAAGTGTAGATGTACCCTGAGAGTTTTACACGGACACCCATCACTTTCTATCTATGCCTCTCATCCTACCTCCAGCAGGATCTTAACTTTAAATAGCTATCACTCAGCCAGGTTAGGGTTATTCACCCATCCAAACTGAACGGGCTGCCCCATGGAATAACAGCTTTGAAAATGTAACATTGAAAGCTACGCTTTGTTCGCGTGCCCGAAGCGTAAGCAGCACATGCCATGGAATTCCATGGGACAGCGGCTTTGCTGATGTGAATTGATATCGTTCCACCAAATCAGTCCGTGTTGCCAACTCTCACGAGTTTATCACGAGCCTCATCAAATTTGGTAGGGTTTCTTAAAGCTCCAGCTCCCGGAGTCAAGTGATTACACGAGAATCTCAGCTTTCATTTAAAAATAAATAAATTTTTCTAGCCTGCCTGGTTGTGGAGAAAACCTGCCCCCTAAAGGATCAACTAGCAGAAGGCAAATCAATAGAACTCAGAACATATTAGCAGCAGTGAAATTCAATGCCTATTGCTCTTGGTGTTCCCTGATGTAGCTTGTTCTCCTGGGAATCATACATTATGCATTAGAAAAAAAATATTCTTACTATTTGTCCGTCGGTCGCTTCTCCAAGCAGCCCCCCAAAGGTAATCACGGGGGACATGCAGGCACAATATAGGAAGAGGAAAGACGCCAAGCACTGCAAGCTCAGAGCATCCCTGAAGTCACTCCAGAACCAAGGAGCTTTTCGTTTCACATCCATGATCAAACCACCAAAGAGCCTGCAAAAGAAAAGAAAAAGAGATATTTTCCCCCCTATTGGGGACAAGAATGGCAGGTTTTGTTTTGTTTTTAACAAGAGACAAGCAATGCTGTCCTGTAAAGTCTGTTATGTTGCAAGCCACCCTACGCCTTGCTCTGACACTATTCATAATGAAATGATGCCTAGCTCCAATGCTTTCCATCAGATCTTAAAGTGCTTTACACAGGTCGTAAGTTTCAGGAACCCCATTTAAAGATGGGGAAACTGAGGCACAGAGAGGGGCACTGACTTGCCTGAAGTCACCCAACAAGCCAGTTGCAAAGCCGGGAACAGAACCCAGGTCTTGTTAGCCACAGTCCAGTGCTCTATCCGCTACTGCTATACATTAAATTTTCTGCGTTACTGGGCATATGAACAGCGTTACGTTCTCAATCATTTTTATACACACATATACCGCACCTAGCACAATGGGGTCCTGGTCCCTGACTAGGGCTCCTAGGTGCTACGGTGATACAAACACCAGTATAATGAGGCGTTCCAGTGCTGTTCAAATAATTGTTTTCACCCCACAGCGAGAGATATCTGGATGTAACAACACCCCTGGTTGTGATTGAACCTAGGATCCCTAGATCTTAAAGCATTAGCTGCTACCGCTTGACCTAAAGAAGTAGCCATTAGGATGGAAAGATAGGTAGGTACGATAGCCTGGTGGATAAGCCACTAGACTATAGGGAAAGAACCACACTCAGTCCCCAGCTCAGCCAGAAAACATCCCGCGTGACTGTGGATAAGACACCTAAGGTATCATGTGTCTCATTTCCCCATCTGGAATATGGCGACAGTCCTCCTCTGCCTAGCAGAGATGCTGGGAAGATAAAATCCATTAGTCATTGGCAATGTTCCCTCTAATTTTTGACAGGCTGCGTGTGCAAAAAATTTCTTCTGTGCAAATTTTTGCACTTCTGTGCAAATATTTGTGCGTGCAGTGTTTCGCCATGTGTGCGGGGTTTAGGATCTGTGTGCGTGCACACACGCGCACAGCTTAGAGGGACCAGTGGTCATTGGGATATACTCAGATACTACACTAAAGGGGGTCATATGAGCACAGAAGCTCGGGGACAGTTGCAGGACCTCTCTACATGGTCTAGTCTCTAGAGAGAAACAAAGAGCCATATCATGCTAATGAGAGTTTCCCCTATGTTTTGCTACCCCTTCCTCCATGGAAAATTTTGACAAAAAATGATTTCCCCCTCCCCTTCTTTTTGTTTAAAAAAATTCTGAGAAAAATCTCAGCTTGTCTGTGTAATACTGAAATCTTAAGTATTTTTATTTAAAATGGCACTGCAGTGCCTCATGGGCATTGTAGTTCAACTACTTTATGTTCCCATTCTCCTGTACAGGCCAGGCACTCTGGCAGGACTGCATCTCCCATGCTACACCACCACCACAAATTGCGATGATGCAGACACTCCCCTCAAAAGGGGGAGAAAGTGGTGCATCATGGGAGATGCAGTCCAGCTAGAAAGCTCCAACCATAAAGGAGAATGGCAGCATAAGCCACCCAAACTACAACTCCCACGAGGCACCATTTTGAATAGAAATATTTCAGTTACAATATTTAGGTTTCGATATTGTGCCAAAAAGTCAAAATTTTCCCTTAGAAAACCTTCCCATTTTCCAGCCGGTTCTGTTGTTAAGGCTTATGTTCTTCCTTTAATCATTAAAATGCATCCTTGTGGTATCTGACTCAAATTAAGGCTCTTTATCCAAATGTTCCTACCTACAGATATGCAAGATACAACGCATTACTGGTCATAAACCACGTTGCCTTGTGCAGGAAACACACTGTCTTTACTAAGCCATCCCCTTCAGCGATTCTTGTCGTTTGTGTTTGTTAAGAGCTCCAACAAGCTTGATTGGTCCCACAAAATCCAGGAACTACTCTGCTTAGACTGGAGCATCATCATATACTGGGCACCTTATCTATTAACTAATTGATAACTAATTAACAACTGTATTAACTAATATAATACACCTCTCCATTTTAAAGTGGTCTCAGGACAAGTATTGACCCACATAGATCCATTTTTCCCCCATGAGCACATTTCTGAAACAAAATATTTTGATTTTTCAATTGAAAAGGACTTTTTGTTTAGAAATTTCCTTCACTTTGATTTTTAAGAAATTCGCGCATGTGAAAACAATTGCTCCAAGTTAAACAAAACACTTCATTCAACCCCACATTAATGTTCTAGACTTTTCAATTGACCAAACAATGTTTTGTGTCAACTTGAAACTTTTTTTGCCCTGACTGTTAAAAAAATTATTATTATTATTTATTTGTATTATCTTAGCAGGTCAGGGCCCCTGTCACGCTAGGTGCTGTACAAACACAACAAAAAGACAGGTGCCAACCCCAAAAAAATCTATTATTTGCAAAGCTCTAGGGCAAACTTTAATGAGAGGCAGATGAATGTTTAATCTGGTCGCACTAACCTTCCTGTTCGTTCAAGTTCGGGTCCACTGTGCTGTTCTGGCTCAGTATGGCAAGCAGTGCCATTAGGGACACCTGGCATCTTCCTCTTGTCCTGTTAAAACAGAAACACAAGAGCGAGATCTTCGTGGTGTTCTCCTCTAGATCCCAGGCATCTGATTGTAAGACACTCTTCCGTGCTTAGTAGAGTGTGCAGGAACTGGGTAGTAGCCAATGAGAAGCACAGTCAGGAAAGTAACAAATACTGTCCTCACGGATTGTATTTTCTAAATGGACAACCAATCTGATTCTTAATTACTGTGGGACAATCTCCACTCATTGATACATTTTGTTTTCCACAACCAAATCTCTGTACAACTTTTCATGAGCGATGTACGCGAGTATTCGGATTCTAATATCTAAACTGTACTGTTAAATCTATTCACCTAAATTTGGGTTTTTGCTGATTATATACTCTATGTATCATATGACTTTTAAAAACTAACTTTATATTTGTGGATAATCTAAGCACTATACCCAGATGTACAGACACTCTTTTCCTAACCTAGGTATTATATAATTTTTTTAACATTAGCTTTAATACAAATTTTAAATTCCCTTGTGTGTGAGCTGCTCTGGGAGGTTCTGGTGGCTTCTGCCATAACAGAAAGGCCCACTAGAGAGCTACCAAACTATTTAAAGGGGTACTACCCAATTCCTATACACTACACTAACGCCTTGATCTTGCAAACACTGATGCATGCTGTTAATTTTATGCTGTCAGTAGCACTTCACACACAAGTAAAGTGATACTCATGTGTAAGCAGTGGCGGATTAGCCACAGGCCCAGGGACCAGCCAATCAGGGGACCCCAGAAAAATAGGTGCCCCCTGCCTTTACCCCGCTCCCGCCACCCGCCCGGCACTCCTACTGGGGAGCAGGGTTGGGGCACGGTGTCTTGCCCCGCTCTTCCCACCCAGCTCTCCTCCTGTGTCCTGATCCCGCTCGCCGGCAAGAGTGCTGGGTGGGCGGGGGAAGCCCCCACGCCCCGACCCCATTTCTTCGTCAGCAGAAGCTCTCCTGCCAACAGAGAGCTGTGTGCACAAGCGCTTACGTCAGTGTAACTTAACATCGCTCAGGGGAGTAGCTTGTTCATGCTGTTTCTTTCACATTCTATTTTACCTACGGTGACAGACGTCCTGATATTAGGGGCTTTGTCTTAGATGTGCAACTAAACCTTCATCCCCCCGAAAATAAAAGTGTCCCAATTTTTCACACTTGCTATCTAGTCACCCTAATTGTATCCAGGGCAGCATTAGGACCTTGCCAATCACATCTCTACACTGAAACATCCAGCCTCATTAAGAAACTCTGCTGCAATTATTTATTGATTTGTGTTCATTTCTTCTGACTTGCACACAGTGCTCGGCCATCAGTTGCAAAACCAGAAATAGAATTAAACAGCCCCAAACTCCCACTCCACAAATCAACCCCTACCTGCCTTCGAATGTTGTACTAACAGATACACTTTGCACAGGCAAAAAAGATGAACACACCATAGTCTAATTTTGGACTGGACTGACACAGCTAGATCCAGAGCTGATGGTCTCTCGCACAGAACAGTGTTCCACCAGCCCCTCTCTTTGAAATCCAGACTGGCCACCTCTGCTATCTATCTAAGTACTTATATGGCCACCATTACTGTAGTATCTGCATGTCTCACAATCTTTAATGTATTTATCCTCACAACCCCTCCGTGAGCTAGTGAAGTGTTATGATTACGGCTTGGTGTTTGCCATGGAGGTTGCGGAAGTCACGGATTCCGTGACTTCCTGCGACCTCCGTGACTTCTGCAACAGCCAGCGTGGCTGGCCCCAGGGCCACCCAAGCAGTTGGCCCCGGGGACCACCAGAGCAATAGCCAATGCAGCTGGCCCTGGAGACCGCCTGAGCAGCGGCCCCGGGGCGGACGGAGCAGTGGCTGGCCTCGGGGCTCTATCCCTCCAGCAGCAGCCAGAGCAGACGCTGGTCCCCCCCCCCAGGAGGCTCCCCCCAGCAGCTGGTGCTGTGTGCTCCCCTCTGGCAGCAGCCCCCCAAGATTCAATCGGGGTATTTATGGTATAAGTCATGGACAGGTCACAGGCCATGATTTTTTGTTTCTCGTCCATGACTTTTACTAAAAATATCCATTTAAGTCGTAGCCTTAGCGATGATCCCCATTTTAGAGATGGGGAAACTGAGGCAGAGAGAGGGGACGTGATTTGCCCCAAGCATGGACGACAGTTGCAGAGCCATGAATAAAATCCAGGTCTCAAGTTCCGTCCTGTGCTCTGTCCAGTATGACACACTGCTTCACAGGGGTCTCTTTTGTACAGTTCCTGCTCAGACATCCCCGTCAGCCATTCTAGTCTCTCTCTTATTCTGGAAGTGAAAAATGTTACCTACCTGGGAAGGTAAATTTTTCGGTGGTTCAATTCTAATCGATGGATCCCATTCTCCAGGAGGCAATACCGTCACCTGATCCAGGAATTCATCAATACCAGCTACAAGGTCAGCACGGTCTTTGGCTTTATAAGCAACGTCATGGAAAATCTACAAATAAGAGAGTAAGGGTTAGGCATGCTTAGCTTGGGAAGGGGAAACTGAGGCAAAGAAAGATGGAGTGACTTGCCCTTTGGGGGGTTAGACTAGATGACCCTTGCAGTCCCTTCTAACCCTATGATTCTATGTCACACAGCAGTTCAAAGACAGAGCAGGGAACCAAAAACAGGTCTCCTGAATCCCAGTCGAGTGCCTTATCCACTAGATCACACTGCCTCACTTGAGTAATAACAAAAAGACCATAATAATGGGCCAGATTGTCAAGTGCTAGTTGACTAGAGCTGGTCAGAGAATGAGGTTTATTCCCAGATAAAATTTCAAGAGCTCAGTGAAAAATTAAAAAAACAAAAATATTTTGATTCTGAAATGCCACTGATTTGCCTCATGGGAATTGTAGTTTGCTGACCTCATGCTCCCATTGTCCTGTAAAAGCCAGGTTCTCTGGTCAGACTACATCTCCCATGATGAACCATGGCCTCCCCTCTTGGACAGTCACTGGCTGTGGTGCACCATGGGAGATGTAGTCTGGCTGGGGAACCCAGCACACAGAGGAGAATGGGAGCCTGAGGTGTTTGAACTACAAGTCCCATGAGGCACTGGGGTGGCATTTCAGAGTCAAAATATTTCAGGATTTGGCCATTATATTTCAGCTTTTGACTAAAATATTTCAAATTTCAGGCATTCATTTTTTCAACAAATAAATCAGAATTTTCCACAGAACACGCTTTTTGCAAAATATTTTGCTTCGTTGAAATTAAACTCAACCTTCCATCAAAAAACAGTTTCAATGGAAAATTTTCAGACAGCCTATTCCTCGCCCATAATAAGGGCCTTTGAGCGGAGTTGTTGAAAAGCCAGGCACTTATTTTGATGCCTAAATGGGGGCTGAGCTATTTTGCAAATTTGGATTTTGGCTGCTGCTGGGGAAGAGAACAAACTTCCCTAGTGTTACACACCCATCCTGATCTCATTCTTTATCTGATCAGTCTGGAAACAGACAGTACATGCCCTTAAATCCTGGGCTGAGAGAGGGAATGATTTAGAAAAGGGCAGAAAACAAGGAAATGCAAAGGAGAAGAGCTGAAATTGTCACTTGTGCCATACCATACCTCATCTGTCATGAGAGTAGCCATTGACCTGCCAATCTCATGGTACTGATGTGCTTTCCCTTCTGGTCCCAACAAGAAAAATAAGAACCTGGCCACATAAAACAGAGAAAAAATGCCCTTATTAAAATCCTTGTAAAGAGCAAAAAAACTGTGTGAAGTTTCCAAAGGGATCTGCACAGTAAATCAGCTTCAACAGGAGTTAGCACACAATGTCACAGACTTGCAATGGGCGTTAGGCACATTAATGCCTCTGAAAATCTCTCCCTTTAAGTGTATTGCTTCTCTAAAAACTTCACTTCACCCACTGGACGGAGTTCATTCGGAACCCATCCCTGTGCACTGAGCTGATAAAAGGCACAAGAGTAAAGCTGGCCTGAGTGTACGGGGACTTTCCATAGATTTTTTTTGGATCAGATTTGAATATATAGACACATTTTAATTTAATTTTTTAAATATTTTTTAATTTTAAAAAAAGGTGAAGTGTTTTTTAACATCCTTACCTTGTTGGGATCGGGACTTCTGTCATGCCTGAGAGAAGGACAGCTGGCGTCAGACGCACGAACACCACCAGGGGACGAAGAAGGAAATCCAACTCTCCCACTAGAACGTTGGAAGCTTCTGCTCCAGTAGGAATTTTCTTCATGAAATGAAGCTCCGCCTAGTTATGAAGAAATAATTTTTCAGACAATTAGGAGTCACTTCTGCAGATCAACAGCTGCACCTTTGAGGCCTGCTCTCTCCACAGGTTTTATATTAGTTTAATTATTCTGGTTGGAGGGCGTGCTTTTCTACTGAAATCATTAAATCGATACAACCGTAGCATGGATGCAGTTGTACTGTTATAAAGGTGCCTTTGGATTTGTTTACATGGGAAAGTTTTTTCTGTATAATCTAAGGAGAAGAGATGAGCTAATATTTGATATTATGTTCGGGGGGGGGGAAGAGGGGGCAAACCAAAAAAATCTGAAACAAAATTCAGTTCGGTTCCAGTCAAAAACTGAATGTTTTCGATTTTTTTGGTAATGAAACGGGGGGAAAAAACTGAAGAAAAAAATTGGTTTTGGTCAAAGAAAACATTTTGGTTGATCTGAAACTAATGTTTTTTTTCATTTAATTTTCATTTCAACCAAAAATGTTTTGTTCAACCCACAATGAAATGTCTTTGGGGGTACTTTTGTTTTGGGACATTTTGGGGTACTTTGACTTTTTGGAAAAAAAAAACACAATTTTTTTTCTGTTGAAACTATTTGCCAAATTCAACCCAAATTTGTGAAGTGTCACCACCCGGAAAAATCTATTTTTTTGGCAAATTTCTCAAAAAAATATTCCTCAAAAAAACTTCACCCAGCTCTAATAACGAGTGAATTTAAATCTATATAGTTATTCCAGTATAACCTCCCAATGTGGAATAAGCATCACATGCCAATGGTTGATCTCAGTGGACAAATGGTTAAGCCAAGATGGCCCAACCCAAGGGCCAAACCAAGTTGTAAGAACTCAGGAACAGATTTTCAAGTTCTCAGCACCCACAATTGGGATCTGATTTTAAAAAAGCTCACCTCCAGTTTAGGCACCTAAATAAGGATGTCTGTCAAAGCACTCAGCACTAGCCCTCTGCAGATAACCAATTTTTTGGTTTGTGGCCCAAACCAGAAAAAAACGGGGGCAAATAATTGTTTTGGGTCATATGAAATATTTTGTTCAACCTGAAAGAAACTTTTTGTTTCATTTTTCAAGGGGAGGCGTGTATTTTTTTTTTTTAATGGAACTGAGGTAAAATTCCAAAGGAAAAGTTGTTTCCAATCAAAATGATTCGGTCAGAAAATGTCGCAACCAAAACATGTGTTGGGTTTTTTGTCGCCGTTTTTTTCCCAGCTGAAACATTTCAGCAAATTCAACACAAGTACCCAAAAGGTTTCAGACAACCCAAATCTGCATTTTTTAGCCAAAAAAAGCTTTGGCTAAAAAATGTCACCAAACTCTACTTCACCCCCCATTATGAAATGTATGGCCAGTTTTTTCAAGCAGGCTCCTCATAGACTCATAGATATTAAGGTCAGAAGGGACCATTATGATCATCTAGTCCGACCTCCAGCACAATGCAGGCCACCGAATCTCACCCACCCAATCCTGCGATAAACCTCTCACCTATGTCTGAGCTATTGAAGTCCTCAAATCGTGGTTTAAAGACTTCAGGTTGCAGAGAATCCTCCAGCAAGTGACCCGTGCCCCATGCTGCAGAGGAAGGCGAAAAACCCGCAGGGCCTCTTCCAATCTGCCCTGCAGGAAAATTCCTTCCCAACCCCAAATATGATGATCAGCTGAACTCTAAGCGTGTGGGCAAGATTCACCAGCCAGATACCCAGGAAAGAATTCTCTGTAGCAACTCAGATCCCACCCCCTCTAACATCCCATCACAGGCCATTGGGCCTATTTACCATGAATAGTTAAAGGTCAATTAATTGCCACCCAGCATGCTGAGCTCTCGAAACATCTGGGCCCACCAGATTATCCACATTGCTTGTATTTACCTTGAGTGACAGCCACACATAGCCTCTCACCTTGCTTAAATCCATAGGACTAGTGTCCTGGGTCACTCCGTTTTTAACTTCTAGATTGGTAGTGCCAGGCTGAGGAGACAGCGTGTGCGTTGCTAAAAGAAAAAGATATCAGAAAGCCCAAGGAAGCATGCTTCCTGTGCACCATTTCTGGCCAACACACACGGTTGCAGGACAGTAGTTAGTACTTGTGATGTACTGATCAGCATTGTATTTGCATGAATGCTAAGTAGTCACACACTGCTACCATCAGCTAGAAGGACTCTAGAGCAAATATATAAACAGCTTTTGAGCTGCCGAACATCAGCTCCTTCTCCCAAGGTCCCATCATGAAAAAACAAAATAACTAAAGAGAAATAAAGAAAAGAAAACCTTTATAAAAACTTCCTCCCAATTTCCCTGAGTCCCATTACAAGAAGTCTTCTTATTTTGGGGCGTCTTGACAAGCGATAGCTTCATGCGTTTTACAGGATCACCTGCATCCGATGAAGTGGGCTGTAGCTCACGAAAGCTTATGCTCTAATAAATTTGTTAGTCTCTAAGGTGCCACAAGTACTCCTGGTTTTTTTGCAGATACAGACTAACACGGCTGCTACTCTGAAACCTCTCTTTTCTAATGCATGTTAAAGGCTTTAGCTTCACTGCAGGAAAAGGTGTATCTTTTACAAGGCCTGGGTAGTTTTGACCTCAGTGTAGCTATTTGAGGTTAATTGTATACCCCTCACCTAAAATGCATTGTCTCCACTAAGATTTTACATTGATACTTATCAGAGGGGTAGCCATGTTAGTCTATACCCACGAAAACGAGGAGTCTGGTGGCACCTTAAAGATGAACAGATTTATTTGGGCCTAAGCTTTTCGTGGGTTGCATCTGAAAAAGTGGGGTTTTTTTACCCACGAAAGCTTAGGCCCAAATAAATCTGTTTGTCTTTAAGGTGCCACCGGACTCCTCATTATTTACATTGATACTTGTGACCCAGCAATCCGTATTGCATGAATGCTAAGGAGTCAAAACTACCAGCCAGCCGGCTTCATCATTAGAACTAAGCGCCGTTTTTTGCCTGAAGCTTTTTTCAGCAAAAACGTGCAGAGTCAGTGACAATGAAACATTTCATGGATTCGTATCAGTTTGGCCGAATTGTTCGTCTCGAGAAAAACAAACAACCACAAAAAATTCCAAGAACGTTGAAATGTTTCATTTCGACATTTTCAAAACAAAATAATATGTTTCTTTTGGGTCGAGACGACACACGGCACAGAAATTTCCTTTAATGTTATTTTTGAAATGCATGACATTGAAATGGAGCATTTTCTTTGACCTGAAATAAGGTGGGTTTTTTATTTTTTTTTTTACTTTTTTGCTTCACAAAAATTGCAAAATATTTCATTTTTCCGAACCGCCGGCAAATCGTAAAATCTGTTATTCCCTCAGCTTTCCAGCTTTAATCGTGAGGTAAAAAACCAACACTGTGGTTTTTTTCAGTGAAGTCATAGATAATCCTTGGTGATTTAGGCTTTTGGAAAATCCCATCTCAAAGGGTCAGGCTGTCTGAAGACGCGACCCAGAAATCCTCACCCGTTTTGTCCAATAAGTGTGGATCTGACTGCTTCTTGCTGACATCAGTGAAAGAGCGGACAATCGGAAGGAGGTTGTTCCTCTTCTTCTCGTTCTGGTGATGATGCTTTTTTAAGAGGGCATCCCGGAGTCTCTCTCTCATGCTTTCATCAAACTCACTGCTTGGTTCTTGCTGATCCAGGATTATATCTGGGGCCGGGGGAAAAAAGGCAATTCTCTAGCTTGCAACAGGTACAGATTGTGTCACTGATGAATGTCCATGTGCTAAATGTACAAGCCAATAGGAAGGGTGGTACAGTAATTAGGGCGCTATTCTAGGACTGAATTTGTGTCCCTGCTCTGCTACATACGTCCTGTGTGACCTTGGGCAAGTCTCCCTATGCCTCAGTTACACCTGTAAAATGGGATAATAGCATTACTCTATCTCCCAGAGGGAGCTGTGAGGAAAATGCATTAATGAATGGGAGGTGCTCGGAGTCCTCAGTAAAGCAGGCCGTATAAGTACCACAGACAGAACTAAACATGCCCCCAAACTATTCTTATTTAGCTCTGTGCTTAGAAAGACTTCATGGCCCCAGCAATCACAGATTCCCATATCTGAATTACACCTCCACAACCTTCCCATATGATGGGAAAGGACTATCCCCACTTCACACATGGGGGAAACTGAGGTACCACACAGATTAAGTACCTCCATCAAGCCCATGCCTGAGCTGAGAATTAAACCCTCCCCCTTTGTTTCCTGGTGAAAAGCCTTAACCACAAGATCATCCTTCCCCGCTGCAAACCACCCCCTCATGTTCGTATTGCAGTCATGCTGACAGCAGGCTACATGCTTTCCAAACACTGAGGAAGAGAGAGGGTGAGACAGTAACTTTGGTGGATTCACTCCAAGAATCACAACAGCCCCAGCCAGCCATCAAAGAACAAAACCTGTGATATTCTCAACCCATGATAAGCCAGGAATAAGGTTGCACGCCTCATAGGAGAGCATTACTACCGCCAGGCGGAACAGCCAACCAATGCCGAGGCAATCTTATTTAGGGAGACGTAGCATTGTTGATACATCTTTGGGTATGCCTGCACAGCTGCTGGGAACGTATTTCCCAGCATGGATAAACAGACACACGCTGGTTCTGCTTGAGCTAGCATGCTAAAAGGAGCAGCGTGGCCACGGTGGCACACGCAGTGACTCAGGCTAGCCCCCTGAGTGCATACCCAGGGGATCAGGCTTTTACTCAGACAGCTAACTCAAGCAGAGCGAGCACACGTCTGTCTAACCATGCAGAGAAGCACACTCCCAGCTGCTGTGTACTCATATTCTTTGTCTTTCAACGGAGGCAGGAATTTTTCTTTGCTAAAAAGTCTCTGCGAAATGATTATTCACTGCTTAGCGAATGCAGTTGTTATTCCCCATTCTCAGTAATGCAGTTTTCTTTCCTGATTGCATTGATCTACACATTTAACCAAATTATAACCAATCTATAACTGGCTTCCCTGAGATTTCTTGGATAATTGACTGTAACTGGCAGCACTCGGGGAGGAATGTTCTAAGAACGGATCTGACATCACCAGACCTTGAAAGAGTTTGAATGGAGACCTGCCAGTCAAAAATAATTTCTACAAAGCTGCTTTCTCAATTACCCTCAATTATCTCCTCAACAGAAATGTATTACTTGGTCATCTGCCAAAGGAAGCCTGGCTTTGAAAGTTAGGTCTTGTCTACACATTGCAAAATAAACTAGGGACTGAATATAAAGTGCAAAAGCTAGTCGGGAATTGGTCCTGCTTTGAGCAGGGGGTTGGACTAGATGACCTCCTGAGGTTCCTTCCAACCCTGATATTCTATGATTCTATTCTATTCTGCACTAACTTCCTGTATGGACACGCCTATTCCACAGTAAGGTTTTATCTACATGGGGAGTTATTCCAAACCGACTATTCTGATTTATTCTGAATTGTCTCAATCCACTTTGGAAATGGATTAAGGTAATGCAGAATTAGGATTTGTCCACATATGAAAATCAATCCAAAATAAGATTGGGGCATGAATTTAAAGAGGATTAACTATTCCGGATTATCTCCATGTGCAGATGTTCTTACCCCAGAGTAAGAGTGCAATATTCTGAATTATTTATAATGTAATTATCTTAATCCCAACTATTTGGATTAAACTAATAAGAGTGTCCACTCATGGCATCAATCAGAAATAGTTATTACACTTTAAATTTATACCTTACCTTATTCCGGATTAATTTTCATGTGTAGGCAAACGCTAAAAGTGTCTTTTTGCAGTTTAGCTTAATCCATTTTCAAAGAGGACTAAATTAAACCAGATACAAGCACCCCTGGTGTGGAATAAAAGTGTCCACATGGGGAGTTCATGCCTGCAATAGCTAGTCTGGACTGTTTTCCTAAGTAGATAAGCCCTTAAAGAACTTGCGCAGTTCACACAGATTCCCGTGTCTTAAAACAGAATAAACGTAGGTGAATTATTTGTAACAAATAGTTTATTCAATGAATTTTACCTCTTTTTCTGACCCCTACTACAACAACAGCATGTTAACCTATGAGACTCATTTCTGTTATCTGAAGTTATTCTCCAAATGATTTCTCTGAATCATTCTAATTCTGTAAAACATGAGAGAATTTGATATTTGAAAGATGCACTCTTTTGATGGTCACATGGTCTGTTTCCAGACCTTGCTTGGATGAATGTAATCAGGATTTCAGGGTGGAAAAATCATGATTCCAAACCTAAAGTTCGGTTTCTGTGCATATTTGCTTAACATTTGCTGTTTTGATGACATCCCTACCTAGGATTTTGCAGGAACAAACATGGTGCAAAGGGAATTTATTTCCTTCAAAAATGCACAAGGATATTCCCTGAAGCTTTTTTCTCTGACATGACACAACTGATCCCTCGCTAGAGCGGTACCTGCAATTTCCTCGATGCTGTTGGCGCACATATCCAGAAGGACAGTCCCATTCATGATGCAACTCCTCAGCTCAAAGAGACTGTGTAATGAAAGTGTCGCGACATAGGGTTTGCTCCAGCGTTCTCCTCCATCCTCCACATCCTCTTCGAACTTCAGCCACCTGGAAGCATGGCAAACCAAACACAAATAAATACCGTACTGGCAGCGACCACTTCCAGTGAAAATACTCTTAAGCAGGTGTTGCAGAGATACAAAGCTGTGTTTGAAATCTACACAACAGACATTCGGTAACTCAATTAACGGTTCAAAGCTGGAGAAGGGAAGAGGATCGAGTGCACATTTTGTTTTTTAAGCAGCTGAGGCAGAAATTTCCACCAGCTCTAATAATGTGCTGAAGGGTCTATTTTATATTTATTTTACATAAGGCAGATCAGCTGCTGGGATTGGACGACAGGGGATGGGTCACTTGATGATTGCCCTGTTCTGTTAATTTCCTTTGAAGCATCTGGCATTGGCCTCTGTCAGATGAAAGGATACTGGGCTAGATGGACCTTTGGTCTTACTCAGTATGACCATTTTTATGTTTTTAGTATAATGCACAAATGCCTCATAATCTTTAAAGCATTTTTTCCTCGCAACATCCATGCCTTTCTATCTTATATGGTGCCCATTATCCTAGTACCTAAGCATCTCTCAGTCTTTAATGTATTTAGCTTCCCAAGCCCCTGTGATGCAGGGCATCACTACTGTCCCCATTTTACAGATGGGAAACTGAGGCAGAAAGAGACTAAGTGACTCGCCCAAGGTCACACAGCAAGCCTGTCTCAGAGCAGGGACATGAACCTAGGTCTCCCATGTGCCCAGGCTAACACACTGATCACTGGATTACACTGCCTCCCCATGTCTGTACATCAACATGCCTGCCTTTGATTCTTCCACATGCTATTATTACACCAGAGGTGCATGAAAAAGCAGAGGTGCTGTGCTATATACAAGGGATCTGCATCATATCTTCCTCCCACACTGCTTTACCAAGTCACACTCTAGAAATGACAAGACTATGAAAGCCCTGTCTAGCAGCAGCATCTCTTCTTCCAGCAGGTGGTGTCACTGGGCAGCACTTCAAGGAAATGGGACCAAAAACATGGCCTGATGGGAGGTCACAAAAACACATTCAGTTTCATTGAGCCGGTGGAGTATATAGCTTTGTGTCACCTGGCCGTTTCCTTCCATTCTGCATCTTCCCCTTCTTTCACACAGATTTCATCCAGCTCTGTGAACAAATCATGGGGAACATGCTCCTCATCCTCCTCCATACCAAGGATAAACTGAACTCGCTGAGACGGGGTGTCTAATTAACAAACAATTAAAGAGGCATCTGCTGTGACCAGGTTACGCCATTCAAAAAATGCCACATTTAAAAGGAAGAGGTTGCTCATTGTTATATGTATCGAAAAGAAACAGCACGCCAAAGATGCTTGGTTTCAAACCAACCCACATGTCAGAAGCCAAATATAAAATTCATAGGCACCGACTCCATGGGTGCTCTGTGGCTGGAGCACCCACAGAAAACAAAAGTGGGTGCTCAGCACCCACCGGCGGCCCCGCCAATCAGCTCCTCTCCCTCCCGCCGAGCACCTCCCGCCCACCGCAGATCAGCTGTTCAGCGGCGTGCAGGAGGTCCTGGAGGGAGAAGGGGTGGGACGAGGCGCTCGGGAGAGGGGGCAGAACGAGGCGGGGTGGGCTCTTGGGGGAAAGGGTAGAGTGGGGGTGGGGCCTCGGGCAGAGCACGAGTCAAGCACCCTCTCCCCGCGCCCGCCCCGGGAAATTAGAAAGTCAGCACCTGTGATAAAATTTGTAAAAAATTGCATTATTTGGACCATGAGCTCTTTGGAGCAGGGATTCTTGTTCTATGTTTATACACCACCTAGCACAACAGGGTTCTAGCTCATGACTGGAACATCCAGACACGACCAGATCAGTAACATAATTCATAATAATAAAAGGAGAAGAAGTAGAAGGAAAAATTCAAAACACTTGATTAACAGGCGTTTTAAATAAATGCAGGTGCTGAGCAAGTACAAATCTGGGACTAAGATACTATCACTTCCCCAAAAAGAGGGCCCATGTTTACATGATGTTGTTCACATGAGACACGACAGCAAGTAGATTTACATAAAACATAACAGAATAAAGCCCCAGTGTTGAGTATTGTCGTGGCAACACCTCAAATTCCCTATTGAGTTTGGTCCTAAATACACCATAATGTTAGTGACCTTTCAGTTAATGCCTCTGTCTTTTCCGCTCATTCATACTTCCCCATCTCACCTCACCCCTACTCCAGGAGTATCATATGTAAGATACTGGAGATAATTGGCCCACGCTACTCAGCACTGGCAAGGCCTCAGCGGGAGTACTGCGTCCACTTCTTGGCGCCGCACTTTAAGAAAGATGTGGAAAAATTGGAAAGAGCCCAGAGAAGAGCAAAAAAAAAATAATAAAAGATCTAGAAAACGTGACAGATGAGGAAAAGGTTTAAAAAAAACGGCTATGTTTAGTCTTGAGAAAAGAAGACTGGTTGGGAGAGGGGACAGGATAGCCATTTTCAAATATGTTAAGGGTTGTTAGAAAGAGAACAGCAATTAATTGTTCTCCACATCCACTGAAGGTAGAACAAGAAATAATTGGCTTAATCTGCAGCAAAGGAAATGTAGGTTAGATAGTAAGAAAAACTTTCCAGCTATTCAAGAAGGATAGTTACATACTGGAATAGATTTCCAAGACAGGTCGTGGAATCCCAGTGATTGGAGGTTTTTAAGAACAGGTTAGACAAACACCCGGCAAGGTATATGTGGTCCTCCCTCAGTATAAGGGCATGGACTACCTGACCTCTTGAGGTCCCTTCTAGGCCTACCTTTCTGTGATTCTATTATTATAAATGTATTTTGCAAATTAAAAATCCCCCAAAGAAAAGAACAGAGCCAAAAAGTAAAAACGAATCATGAAATAACACGACTGTTCCCAGCTTTCACTTGGATAACTTTGCTGGTATGCTGCATGTTTCTCTTCCACCTTTCCTCTGTCTTATCTATTTCAACTGTAAGCTCCTTTATGATAGGGATCGCTGCTTGCTATGTGTCTGTATCACGCCTAGCATAATGGGGCCCCGATCCTAGTAGAGGCCTCTGGGTGCTTCCTCTACAAATAATAAATGCTGATCATAAACTGAATTACTAGGAGTAAATTCTTGGCCCTCATGAAGCGAACGGCAAAAGCTCCCACTCACTTCAGTGGAGCCAGGATTTCCCCTCTTAATTTTCGTACATGCTAATTAGCACGAGATTGGCTCCAACTATTTCAGAGCGACTACAATGACTAAAAATTTCAGATGTTGCTTTCATTGGGGTGAGATTGGGCAATGAACTTTCAATGTCCAGTTCCCCATGTTATCCCAAGAAGAGCAACACCAGACAATTTACCAACTCTCGTGGTGGATACTCCATCCCTGATAACTTTCAAATCAAGACTCTGGGTTTTTCCTAAATGATCTGCTCTAAGAACTATTTTGGGGAAGATCTCCCGCCTGTGTTATACAGGAGTCACGCTAGATGATCATCATGGTCCCTTCTGGCATCAGAATCGATGGATCTACTAAAAAATATTTATTCCCATTACCTACATAAGTTATGCTTCCATCATTAAACACACACTATGTTCCCATCATACATTAGCCTGAGGTTTTATTTACCATGAGATTCCTGCTCTTCTTGAATGGCTCCCTTTGCCCGGTCTCGTTTCCTATGTTTTTGGCCATGATTCCTGTGATGTCTGTGGCTTTGTCTCACCAAAGGCATCCGTACCCCAACGTACAGTGTTCTGTGCCCTGCAACAAAGCAGAAACACATTAGTCAGTGTCACTCTTGGCCCCACAGTGCCTGTCAAGATGAATGGTGCCCATGGTATAACATTGCTCTTCATATAGCTGCTCTTCATAACTTATAATGTTAAAAGTCAGTAAAAAAAAAAAATAACACTTAGGTCAGCGTTTCTCAAACGGGTCCACGAGGGTACTCCAGGAGGTCCGCGGGCCCCGCTGATCAACTCCTCCCCGTCCCTCAACTCCTCCCTCTCCCTCCCAGAGCCTCCCTCACGCTCGGGAACAGCTGTTCAGCGGCGTGTAGGAGACACTGGGAAGGAGTGAGGACTGGGCACGCTTGCGGGAGGGGGCAGAAAGAGGAGGGGCAAGGGTGGAGCGGGGGGTGAGAAGAGGTGGAGCCTTGGGGGAAGGGGTGGAGTGGGGGCAGGACCTGGGGCTGAGCAGAGGGCTTGAGGCTCTGCAAAATATTTGACATCAAAAGGGGGTCCTCAGGTTGCTAAAGTTTGAGAACCGCTGACTTAGGTCGTACAATGATAGAGTTGAGCAAAACGTCAGAATTTCATTCCAGGGGGAAATTCCAATATTTCAGCTTCTGTTTTCATCCTGAATCGGGAAAGAAAAAGTGAAATATCAAAAGTTTTCATGGACCAAAACTTTCAGGAACATTTTGATTTGGAAACATCGGACTGTTTCGTACCAAGTCAGTTCAGCATTCATCATGATGGAGTTGGCTGATGACCCAAAAATTGGCAGGGTGGTAAATAATGAAGAGAACAGGCCACTGATTCAAAGAAATGTGCATTTTCACACACCTGCATGCACATTTATACACCTAGGGACAAAGAACGCAGGCCATGCTCACAGAGTAGGGGACTCTATCCTGGGAAGCAGTGACTCTGAAAAAGATTTGGGGGTGGTGGTGGATAACCAGCTGCACATGAGCTCCTAGTGTGACTGTGGCCAAAAGAGCTAATGCAAACTTGGGATGCCTGGGTGCCGGACCTGCTGGCCGCTTCCGGGGCACAGAGTGGTGCCGGGACAGGTAGGGACTAGCCCGTCTTAGACCCGCCGCTGACCAGGAGCTGCCCGAGGTAAGCCCACGCCTCAACCCTGAGCCCCAACCTCCTGCCCCAACCTTGAGCCCCCCAAACCTGGAGTGTTCTCCTGCACCCCAAACCCGTCATCTCCAGGCCCACCCCAGAGCCTACACCCCCAGCTGGAAGCTTCACCCCCCCTGCACCCCAACCCCCAGCCCAGAGCTACTACCCACACCCTGAACCCTTCATCCCTGGCCCCATCCCAGAGCCTGCACCCCGCAGCCCAGAGCCCATACCCCCTCCTGCACTCCAACCCCCTATCTCAACCCACAGCTCCCTCCCGCACTCCAAATCCCTCGGCCCCACCCCCTAGCCTGGAGCCCCCTCCTGCACCCCAAACCCCTCATCCCCGGCCCCACCCCAGAGCCCACACACCCCTGCACTCCAACCCCCTGCCCCAGCCCGGTGAAAGTGAGTGAGGGTGGGGGAGAGTGAGCCACCGAGGGCGGGGGAATGTAGTGGGCGGGGGCGGGGCCTCAGTAAGGGGCGGGTCAGGGGGAGGGGCCTCGGGGAAGGGGCAGGGCTAGGGTGTTCAGTTTTGTGCGCCACGGGTCTCTGGCCTGTGTTACACAAGAGGTCAGACAACATGATCACAACGGTCCCTTCTGGCCTCGGAATCTATAAACTGCACCTACCATGGGGCCCCAGTGGGAGACATCGTTCAATTACCTTTCATTCTCGTTCTCCCATATGGCCCCAGCTCCCCAATCTGACTACATCGCCCATGATGCACTTACACTACGCAGCCTGGCCAGAGGGCAGACCACTATGCATCATGGGAGATAGAGTCTGGCAAGTGGATAGTGTAGAATAGGAGCATGAGGCTCCAAAACCGCACCGCCCAGAAGGCACTGGGGTGCCAAAGTTTAAAGTTGAACTGACTCAAACCTAAACATTTTGATTCAATTCAGCAAGCCGAAATTATTTGATTCGGGCAGAACTGATGTGAAACAAAACACTTCATTTAAATGAACCCAACAGAAAATTGGAAAACATCAGCAAAATTCGAATTCTGATTGTGCAGAAACTGCATTTTCGGTGGGAAAATATTTTCAATAGAAAATTCCCAACCAGATCTGTAAGATAGGAAAGTTTGTGTAAGAAGCAAGAGCATCAAACATACAAATCTAGCCTCCTAATTCTTTAATCTGGACTGACAAGATGTTGTGTGCCTTTAAACTAGGTTTATTTTGGTTTGTCTTCGGCCAACTGGAAACAGGTTAAAGCTAAACAGAAATAAGCTGCTCTTAAATCAAAATAAGAATATCCACATAGAGGTTTGCATTGACTTAACTACGCGGGTTTAAAAACCGATTTAAGTAAAACCAGTGCAACTTTCTCATTTAGACAAGAACTCAGCCTATATTCTCTCAACTGCGTCAGTCAGATATCTGCAAAGGAGCCATTTTCACAGGGCCTCTTAAAGGTCATGGACTTGTTCTATTTTAGATCTGACATATCTGGTTTATTTTATTATTACAAAGTTTCAAAAACAAGGCGGCAGCTTGATTTAAAACGCCCTTAAGAAAGAAACAACCCTCTTTGCAATTTACAACTTTAATAGGACAACGATCCCAACAGCTCATTAAGCAGAGGCAGAAGGTAATTATTTTCAAAGCTTGCTTAAGGCATAGCATGAGAGGAGATTGGGCCAATCTCCTGATAATGAACTGTATTAGACAAATCACAGCCAGACACCTTAAGCATTCAAATTATTCCAGTGGCCTATCAAAGCTGGGTTTTTCTACCTGCTCGACTGAGAAAACATGGTGATTAGTCATCCCACCCCTCTACTATTTCTAATGTTGTTTCCTCTGGAGTTTTTTTGTTCCTTTATTTATAATTTTTTTTAAATATGAAAAATGTTTGCTGCCTCTCTTATTACTAATTTAAGCCCATTTTGCCAGAATGAACCTGAAATTTAATGCGATTCTCTGGCCTCTGTTATGCAAGCCGTCAGACTTGGTCATCATAGTGATCCCTCTTCTGGCTTTGAAATCTGTGAAAGCAGGGACGGGGATGAAGCAAAAATCAAAAGGTCGGGTTATATGTTGCCCTGTATTCTGTGTCATCACCGGCTCCAGTGCAAGGCAAGTGCAGAAATCTTCAGGCCAGGCGTGTTGAAGACACAGCCTGAATGGTGTATCTCCGTGCCCTGAACAACGCACACAGAGTCAGCAGAACCAAAGTGCTCTCTCTCTTCTTTTCTAAATATGTTTTGAGCCCTCACGAGGGTTGGTCTTTACTCAAAACACTAGGCTGCGATAGTACACAGCATGGAGGCAGCGCCAGACATGGCTCTGCAGCAGGGGCCCACGAGCAATGACGTCAGAGATTTGTCCACTTTGTCAGCTGGATAGTCTCTCCCTTGGCTGTTCTTCCCCACGTTCTTTCTCCCTTCCCTCTTCCACCCAGTCCTATTCCCCTCTGCATCCCCTCTCCCCTCCCTCATCTCTCTATTTAGCTAATCCCCTCCCAAAAACTCCCCACCCGGAAAAAAATCAAAACTGATGGGATTCACATGCCGTTTGCCACCCATCACCTTGATCGCTCCCACCAGGCCTACACTATGAACGTACATCAGTATAACTACGTTGCTCAGGGGTGTGAAAAATCCACACCCCTGAACGATGCAGTTGTACCGACCTAACCCCCAGTGTAGTCAGAGCCATGTCACGGAGGTGGATTAGCTACGCTGACGGGAGAAGCTCTTCCATCTGCATAGTAGCATTTTCACTGAAGCACCGATGCAGTGTTTTAAGTGTAGATCTGCCCTTATGCCCTTTTTTCCTCTCCTTAGCCGGTCTCTGCACCTCCGTCCATTGCTCTATGTTTGTATAGCACTTAGCACAATGGGGCCACATGCTCGGTTGATCTCTATGCACAACCAAAATAATCATCACAATTAAAAACTCTCAGCAATTGACAGAATGTCCAATACAATGTGGCATTCCGTGCAAATAGGAACTCTCCTGCTTAGCATTGGGTCAGCTAATTCCTGGGTAAACTAACTGGGTTCCTATTTGTTTCTTTCCTTTGGGAGCTTCTCAGCAGAAGGAATCATAGAATCATAGAATAGAATCATAGAATATTAGGGTTGGAAGGGACCTCAGGAGGTCATCTAGTCCAACCCCCTGCTCAAAGCAGGACCAATCCCCAACTAAATCATCCCAGCCGGGGCTTTGGATCCCCAGACAAAGTTTGCACGCTGTGGTCGAACAGGTTGTGAGAAGGAACACATTTTATTCATGGATAACTTGCAAGCCGAAACAGGGCTCAGTTTGTCAAATGACAAATCACGGACTACCCACAGATTGCCCAGATCTGCTCTCAAGTCCCACTGCTTCTCTTTAGCATGAGGCCAGTTAATGGGCCAGAGTCTCATGCACACTAACACCCCAGACTGATGGGAATGAGACTCCATTGTCTTTCACAGCTTGGGCAATGACTCTTTAAGCATTTTGTCTTCCAGCTGGTACAAAAATGTCATGCGGGTGAATTAGCATTGCAAAGTTCAACCGTGTCCAAAGAGTCTGATTCTCTGTTGTTCTGCCCTCGTGCTGCCATTTACGCCAGTGGGCGTAAAATGCTGCCAAGCCTGAATGCTGACAATTTACACCTCCCTTTTGCACTGGTGTAAAGGACTGCACAATGGAACACCGGGCCTCAGGTGTGTAAGGAAAAGTAAATCTCAGCGCTAATGGAGGACGGGGGGGGGGCAATCCAATCGCAAAGAGACTGATGGAAGTTGAGTTATGGCCAATCATTTATCTGATCTGGAACTTTATTAGCCAAGAAGTACATTTACTCCAGGTTCCATCTAGCTAGACATTAACGATGTACTAGAAAAACTGCAAAATATAGTTATCAGCTGCAGGCTTGGACCTTACCTTCCAGCTCTTCTTTCTCATAATGAATATTGACGACATTACTGGTCCCACCTTGATCCACCACCGCCTCTTCATCAACTCTCTGTTTAAAAAACAACACAAAAATGTGCAACTAGATAGAAGCAATTTCCTAATTTACTCACTGTGCACAAGATTTTCAAAGTGACTTAGGAGAAGAGTGGGGTGCTATTTATCAACCAAAAGTCCTTGCTGGTGAAAAAATGCAAATTTGGTGGCATCGAAACATTGGCACAGGTCTACTTAGAAGCACAGCATGGGATTCTCAAAAGCAGTGTTGGCCTAACTCTGCTCCCACTGGTAAAACTTCAACCATGTGTCTTCCTATGTGTTTGTACAGCACCTAACATAGGGGTGGGCAAACTTTTTGGCCTGAGGGCCACATCTGGGTATGGAAATTGTATGGCGGGCCATGAATGCTCACAAAATTGGGGGTTGGGGTGCAGAGGGGAGGGTGAGGGTGAGGGCTCCGGCTGGGGGTGCGGGCTCTGGGGTGGGGCTGGGGATGAAGGGTTGGGGGTGCAGGAGGGTGCTCCGGGCTGGGACAGAGGGGATCAGAGGGCAGGAGGGACATCAGCACTGGGGCAGGGGGTTGGGGCAGGGGGGCAGGCTCCGGGTGGTGCTTACCTCAAGCAGCTTCCAGAAACAGCATGTCCCCCCCCTCTGGCTCCTACGCAGAGGCGCAGCCAGGCGGATGTGTGCGCTGCCCCGTCTGCAGGCACCGCTCCTGCAGCTCCCGGCCAACGGGAGGAGTAGGAGCCAGAGGGGGGATGTGCTGCTGCTTCCAGGATCCATGCGGAGTGGGGTAAGAGCCCAACCCTGTTCCGCAGCTGGAGCGGAGCAAGCCTCAGATCCCACTTCCCAGTGGGAGCTTGAGGGCTGGATTAAAACGTCTGGAGGGCCGGATGTGGCCCCCGGACCATAGTTTCCCCACCTCTGACCTACCACAATTCAACCCCCATCCTGACTGGGACCAGCAGAACTCTTGAAAAAGCAAGGAGCTCAGTGAAAGGCTGTTAGTTAAATATCAGCAACATAATGGACCGCAGCATTGCCAACCCTCATGATTTTGCTGCGAGTCTCGAGATATTTGGTGGTTTTCTTAAAGCCCTAGCAACTGGAGTCATGAGATTCTCATGCAACCACAGGTTCCTTTTTTTAAAAGCCCTCGTCATTACAGAGAAAAGCTCAAAAATGGGGGGGGGCAAAGTGTACCGTAAAAGTTAAGAAAAACACAAGATAAATAAATTGATCCCAACCATTTGGAGGGGATGGGGTAAAGCTCATAATTTTTAATCCAACCTCAAGCCTTGTCTATGCACAAAAGTTGGACCACTTTAACTATACCAGTATAGTTTAACCAGTACAGTTAAAGCGATAAAGCTCCCCTGGTGTGGAAGCAGGTATAATGATTTCAGTGTGCGTATACCGGTATAATTTATTCCCACATGGGATGGGGAATAAGTTATGCTGGTAGAAAGCACCTTTAAATTGGTAAAACTATGTCCACACAAGGGTCTGACTATATTGGTTAAAACAAAAAACAAAAAAAACCCACATAGAAGGGGACACAACACACACTGACCAGCGGGTCACACGTGCAGTAATTCCCAAAACGGTTCAGGCCAGAGAAAATGTTCATATCTCAAAATTCACAGGAGACAAGCTACAGAATTGAAGCTTAGCAGCAACCAATAAGGACACACACGAGTCCTTCTTGCTTCTCCCTGTCCTCGGTGTTGCGGAAAGGGGTTACCCCTTTCTGACCAAAGAAGCAAAGACCACCCGCATTTCAGACTTATGCTGCGGTTTTGGCACCTTCTGGGAAAAAACTGAACATATTTTGCCCCTCTCTTCATGATACATTTCTGCTATTAAAATTGAAAATCAATACAATTGCAAGAGTTGGCAATGCTGCTATGTGGAAACAGGAAAACTACAATGAATGTTGCTTATACATATTAATTGGCTCGAATCAAACAAGAACACTAAGCTTGATTTAAAAGCATATGTTATGTCAACATCCATAGTGCACTAACTTGTAAATGGAGAAGTAATTAACACCTCCATCTGCTTCAGAAGGGATACACACAAGCAGCTCCTTTCTTTGTCACCCACTCCTCCACCCTTTTATCCTTGAATTGGATTTTTTTTCCTGCATGCCTTTCTGGGTGACTAGCCCTTTAAATCTGGTAGAGGCAAACAAACCACTCAGCTCTGAACTGGCCATTCTGGCTGATGTTTGCTGCATCTCACTCTCTATTACTGGATGGGGTAGCACATTCTCACAGTCCAGTCTGGACATGTGGGTGCAGCACACTGGGCATGCATGGATTTTGTTACAAAATACACTCTGTAATCAAGACCCTTGGAAAGAACAAAGTTTAGAGACTCCCACGACTTGTGTGGGGTGCCCCCAACAGATTTACAACCTCTAACAGGGAACAGGCAGCTGGAATAAGTCAACTTTTTAAAATAAAAACGCTCACCATGAGCTTGTTCCAGTTCCTTAGACCACAAGCTCTTTGGGGCAGGGATGGTCTCTTACTGGACTAGCACAATGGAGCCTAGATCTTGGTTAGGGCCTCTGGATGCAACCATACTAACAAGAAGGAGAACAGCGGAGGATTGAGGGATCCAAAAGCAAACAGCTGAACAGAAGTGGTGAGGCAGGTAGATAAGGTAAATCAGGAGGTGAACTGGAATTGTGCTGTCTGGGGCATTACCTGAGAACAGAGGGGCTATTGTAACCCAATGGTGATCATGTGTTACAGGCTCCCTTCTGTGTCTGATTCACAGAGCATATAAGCCCTAGCTTTAGCTCAAGTTATAATAGCTTATGCTTTTTCAGCTCTGGAGATCTGCAGTTCAAACCCGGCCAAAATGGCAGCTATCACTCTCTGCTTAATTTTGGCATATTTATGACAGACCCAAGTCATGTTGATGTTTTGAATGTGCTGGAGTTTCGTTAAAAAGAGAATGATAACTCCACAGAAAAAGACCTTAAATTGGAATTGTCACCTTAAATTGGTGGTGCTGGGGGTTTGTTTGTTTGTTTCTCTTTTGCATTATTATTTCAAAGGAGCAACAGCGCTTGTAAATAAGCAACTTTCATTCCTAGGAGAATCCTAGCTATGGCGACTAAAAATAACAGGAAACAGCTGAAATACCAGAGGTGGTTCCAGTCGGAGAACGAGAATTAATGCTTAGTAGCCCCCCAAGTTCCAATTTCAGAGTAAACTTGTTACTACTTTGTTGCAAGAAAGCAAATTGGTCCTATTCTGCAGAATTAATTCATGTTACCTAGCAGCAGGCTTATCATTACAAGACCAGTTGACTTTCCATTTCCTAATTACTCCTGTAACTATCTCTGCCTCTGTCTGTCCCTTCTTAGCAACAGTCACCCAGATCACCTCTGGCAAGGTTTCAGACAGGCATGGAACCACCGCAGAGAGTAAGTGGCTTCATTTCTGAGACATCATTCAGATCCTGATTAGCATTTGTCTTATCTGGCCCTTCTTCAAGGGAGCATATAAAAGCAATAGCCCTGCACCACTGTTGCAAAACTATATGTAATGCAAATTTAAACTCTTCAGCACCGGTTGTTTTTCATAGATTCATAGATATTTAGGTCAGAAGGGACCATTATGATCATCTAGTCTGACCTCCTGCACAATGCAAGCCACAGAATTTCACCCACCACTCCTGCGAAAAACTTCTCACCTATGCCTGAGCTATTGAAGTCCTCAAATCATGATTTAAAGACTTCAAGGAGCAGAGAATCCTCCAGCAAGTGACCCGTGCCCCATGCTACAGAGGAAGGCAAAAAACCTCCAGGGCCTCTTCCAATCTGCCCTGGAGGAAAATTCCTTCCCGACCCCAAATATGACAATCAGCTAAACCCTGAGCATATGGGCAAGATTCACCAGCCAGATACTACAGAAAATTCTTTCCAATTAAAGCCTTCAGTGGTATTGCCTGCCCTTTACATTCCTGCCTGAGCTAGCATTTGCAAAGAGGTCTGACCAAGGTGGGAGAGGCTCACTGTACTCAAGACCGTGGATATCACATTTATGTAGCCCATTCCCAGACTTGCTGTTCAGGTACATCACCCACATATTCAAGTATCAGGAGGGTAGCCGTGTTAGTCTGCATCCACAAAAACAATGAGGAGTCTGGTACCACCGGACTCCTCCACATGTTCAAGGATGTCAATTGCATGCCGACCAAAACATGCCACCTTCGAACGCATAGAGTGGATGAAATAACCCATGTGACGTACACTACACATCAGCCGATCATGGAAATAGGACGGTGAGCTGCACACCTCACCTCAGTGCATTGCACCCTTTTATGAATCCAATGCAATTTAACTAACAAAGCAGATACAGTGCAACAGCCACTAAAGCTGCTAAAACAGTCTGCAGCAACGCTGCACCGTGTGGCTTCGGCGAACCCTTTGCCTTGTATTTGCTAATGAAAAGAATCACTATTGCTGGGAGTTAAAACAGCAGTGGTTGCCATTTAAACAGTCAATATTTGCCACCTGATACCACAGGGTCAATATATTTATTAACTTCCTTAGTTCTCAGAGGAAACTGTGGTAATGTGGTAGCTGTTGGCAAATATTGACTTGGGGCCAACTCAGAGGTGAGTCAAAGGGAATCTAACTGGGTATAATTCACACCTTTTCCCAACCCCTTCTATGTGTAACTTAGATCAGTTTGGATCCCCTTACACTGGGGTAGACTAAATGTGTGAAATTCAGAAGTGATGTGTAAAACATTGGTAAATGGGTGTGAATCTAAAGCCAGATCTACACTAGGAACTTTTGCTGGTAATGTAATGTCTACAGGGGTGTGATTTGTGGGTGGGTAGGTTTTTTTTTGGGGGGGGGGGGTTCAGCTCACGAAAGCTTATGCTCAAATAAATTGGTTAGTCTCTAAGGTGCCACAAGTCCTCCTTTTCTTTTTGCGAATACACACTAACACGGCTGCTACTCTGAAACCTGAATATCGTCAGGTGTTTTTGTGGGTATCACGGCGGAGGAGAGTGAAGCTAGGT